TTGGTGTAGAAGGATTTCTAAATAATTGAGTGAGTTGGGGTATAATGATTTTAGGGGACAACAATAAACTGTACTTGATACAGGAGCAACAAATCTTGAGGTGTGTTTGTGGAAACACAGAGCTTTATTGAGCATAATTTCCTTCTTAGGTGGACTAGGAACATTGGGATTTCTTCCTTTGGTACTTTTCCTAAATCCTGGGGGTGTTGAGTTTCTAGGATCTCAAGGTAATCCTGGTGGCAGGTTCCCCCCCTCCCCCGCCCACCTGGCAGGAGAGGCAGAAGGGTCTCCAGGATCCAGTGCACTGCAAACCCTGGTGGTTGTTTATATTCCTCGGTACCACAGAGAGGGGAATTAAAGGGGCCATGGCACTTTTTTCTTTTGTAACACTCCTTAAAGGATTCTGCCTTTAGCTTTATGTAATAACTGCACCTATATTTCAGGCAACTGGAAAAGTCGCTTCCAACTTTCAGTATCTTTTCCTCCTAAGTCCACTTGTTAGTCCACTTGATCATCAATTTAGATAGCCAATAGGTTTGTCAGATTCCATATGTTCAGTTGAATTATTGGTCTCCCTCCCTTTCCTAACTCCTCTTACCCCAATCCCTTGTCCAGAAAATTCCATACCAGGAAATTTATTTGTTGAAATTCTGGAGTAATCTTCAAGTAATCCTCTTCTTCCTCTCTCACTTTATATCCACTTTAAGAGAAAGTATTTGAGCCTTACCTTCATTCTGCCTCCAGAGAGTAGCTGTTTCCCTTTAGCCTTGACCATTCAAATGGATTTATGCTGATTAGATAGATGAAAAGTAAGATGGTAGTTGAGTATCTTTTTTTTAAATGCAGGAGTACTGCTATTTATTCAGCACCGATTAAGCTCAGTAAAGCAAGGATGAACTCCACATTACTTTTTTTTTTTAATATCTGTGAGATAGACCATTACAAAGCTGTTCATGTCAGTCTGTTCAGCCTTGTGTGGGTATGAGATTAACTGCGGCTTTTGATCTCTTCCAAGATTTATTTGTGGGTCTCTGCAGCAAGGCCAATAGAATAGTTTACATGGTGGCACTAGAGTTGATTCATGGGGGTGACTGCCAATGCTTCAGAAGTATAGGGAAGTGGGGTAGGTAGCCCATCTCAACCCTGAGAAAGCCTGGAGGTTTCAGTTACAAAATTTGCATGCCCAAATTTTCAGCAGATTATTTCAGTGAGATGAGGTGTGTCCTGAGACGATGGAGTTCATCCAGGGGTATGGTGGTGATTTTGGATTGTGGAAGCACGCATCTGCCAGGGGCTCTGCTTGGGCAGGCACCAGGCTGACCTGCACCCCCCCACCCCAATTTACCCAGGTCCATTTAGCCTTGTATGGATCTGTTGATTAACTTTTGATCTCTTTTGAGATTCATTTGTGGGTCTCAAGCAAGGCTGATTAATGAGCTTGTATAGCTGAGCCAGAGGTGGTTTGTGGGCATGACTTCCACTTAGCACAGCGGTAGGGCGTTTGCCTTGCATGCAGCCAACATGGCCGACCCGAGTTCGATTCCTCCGCCCCTCTCAGAGAGCCCGGCAAGCTACCGAGAGTATCTCGCCCGCACGGCAGAGCTTGGCAAGCTCCCTGTGACGTATTCGATACGCCAAACACAGTAACAACAAGTCTCATGATGGAGACGTTACTGGGCCCGCTCGAGCAAATCGACGAACAGCGGGAGGGCCTTTACCTTTACCTTTAGTTTCTCAGGAAACTTGGTTCTGAGTTGTTGGGGTCTGAGAAGAGGCCCAGGGACAATTTTGGGGTATCAGGAAGCCTGAAGGCATCATCAGACTACTGGTGGCACCACACCCTGAATGTCTTATTTTTTTGACGGGCTAAAGCGATAGCACAGCGGTAGGGAGTTTGCCTTACAAGCGGCCAACATGGCCAACCCGAGTTTGATTTCTCCACCCCTCTCAGAGCCCGGCAAGCTACCGAGAGTATCTCGCTCACACGGCAGAGCCTGGCAAGCTACCCATGATGTACTTGATATGCCAACCACAGTAACAACAAGTCTCACGATGGAGACGTTACTGGGCCCACTCGAGCAAATCGATGAACAACGGGAGGACCGTGACCTTGTTTTGACATGCTCAGGGAATTTTCTCTCTCTTTTTTTTTCATTTGTCGCTTGTTGGACATGTGTTATTATTTAGCATTGATAGCATTTGATGAGCTTAAAGGATTTTGCATTAGATTGATTAACCATTTGTGTATAGTGTGAGTTGTCGATAATCTTCCTCTTGCACTTTTTTTTTTCACTTTTGATATATCAAAAATTCTTGACTTAGAGAATCTCCTCAGTGAGACTCTATAATCTGGGAGCTTTCATGCCCTCTATTTTGCCTGCCTTTCCCTTCTCTTTAAAAAAGATCCTTTTCAGAATTTGGCCAAAGTAAACAAAAACAAAAACTTTTTTTGTTTTTTTTGTTTGTTTGTTTGCTTTTTAATTTTATTTCAGGGTAGGGTTTGAGGCTCACTTAGCAGTGCTCAGGTCTTACTCCTGGCTCTGTACTCAGAGATCACTCCTGGTGCTTTGAGGATTGAACCCAGGTCACTTGTGTGCACGGGAAATGCCTTACCCTCTACTATCACTCTGTCCCCTTGTTTTTAACAAAAAAGCCTGTTAAGTCAAAGGACACAAAATTCAACTCTTAACAGAATTGCTTTTTAGAAAAGACTTTATGCCAGTCACTACTTCTGAACATTGTATGTTCTTATTATTTTCTTACATCCTTGCCTACTTGATTTTAATTTACTTTTTTTTGTTGTTGTTAGCTTTTGTTTTTGGGCCACACCCAGTAGTACTCAGGGGCTATGCTCTGGGGACCATACGGGATGCCCGGTATCAAACGAAGGTCAACCATGGCAAACACCCTACCTGCTATAGTGTTGTTCTGACGCAAGCTTAATTATTTTTTTGCAGGGTGGGGGTAAGGGGGCGGGTCTCCCAAGCCTTGTTCAGGAAGCCAGGGCCCTTCCTGACTATTCTCAGCCAGTTGGGCCAGCAGTTCCCTAAGAGGACCTACTTAGGCCCTATTCTGTAAGGGTTTACCTGAGCCCACCCTAATGGTGCTCAGGACCTCTGGGACTGCATGAACTGGGATCAGCATGTATAGAATGCGTATGCATGCCCCATGCTCATTTTCCCACCCCTTTTATATCTTAAATTTGCCTTTATTTTTTTTCCCTTCATTTCGTTATGCTGCAGTATCTGGGGGCCACACACTTACGTTGCAAAGCTCACATGGTCACCTCCTAATGTCATGCATGCAGTGCATGTGCTGTACCACTGAGCCTCCTCCCTGCATGGCCTTTCTCTGAAGCCACTTGAAGGAATATTTTCCTTTACCAGCTTTGTAATGATTTGGTGGCATTTTGATTTTTGTTGTTGTCTGACTCTGTAATCTGAGCTCTGTGTATTTTCACTGTGAGCCCCCCATGGGAGTGTGGACAGAAACTGGTAGTTAATTGTAAAGATCCTCAAATTTACCTGGTAGTAAGAGTGCTCTTTAGTCCCTGCTGGTTTTCTAAATATTATACCAGCATTTTATTAACAGCATAGCTAGAAATCATTTGTGTAGGTTTGAAGTAAGTTCTTATCGCACTAGGATTCTATAACATTATTTTTGGTGAAATTGTTGTTCACTTTTATCATAAAATAATTGTAGTAAGCAAAATTTTGGTTCCTACAGGAAAGTCAAGTATGATCAGTTTTATTCAGTCATGTATTAGCCTCTCCTGGCTGCTTGGGTGCAAGATGGGAACGGGCGCCCTTCTTCATAGGGTGCACATACACCCTCACCTTTACACAGACAGGGAGCCTTTAGACACACCAGTGACCCTACAGTGCACCTCTTTAGGCCATAGAATGTGGGTGAGAAGCAGAGTACCTGTCAAACCCACACACATTCATAACATACAGGCAATCATGGCCTGGAATCAATCCCTGGCCCTGGCCCAGCCCCGCCCTGCCTCCCCCAACCATACAATGAAATGAAATACACCTGTTGTATTAGTGTTTAGCAGTAGCTTATTTTTTGAATCACATAGATTGGTTATGTCTCCTAGTAATTTTTTTTTTTTTGCATTTTTTGCTTTTTGGGTCACACCCAGCAATGCTCAGGGGTTACTACTGGCTCTGCACTCAGGAATTACTCTTGGCAGTACTGGGGGACCATATAGGATGCTGGGAATCGAACCCGGGTTGGCAGCATGCAAGGCAAACGCCCTACCCTCTATGCTATCACTCCAGCCCCCTCTTTCTTTTTTTTTTTTAATGGACACTAAATGAGTAATGAGAAAATGTAAGTTGCGTTCATCGGACACAGGGAGACTTCAGGATCAAAACTTAACACTCATAAGCCTGTATACAAATATTTATAGAATCCTTATTTATAATAAACCCCAAATGAAAACAACTCCAGTGTCAACTAAGTAATGAATGGGCTAAGCAAACTGTGGTATGTTATTGCAGTGGAATAGTATTTGGCAGTAAAAACGAATGGAGTGCTGATACATGCTGAGACAGGGATAAATCCTAAAAACTGCAGCAGTGGCAGGTACTCAAAAAAGTCCACTTGTTATATCAGTCTATTCTATGATTAGCCTTGCATGTGTCCTCCCCTGGTTTGATCTCTGGCAGCACATAGGGTTCCCTGACCCCCACCAGGAATGATCCCTGAGTGTACCACTGGTAGTAACTCTGAGCACTGCCGGGTGTGGCACAAACAAAAGATAATGCATTTGTGAATATAACATTTTTGTGTGAGAAAGTAAAGGAAACAAATAGACAAGGCTGTTTGCTTTAGTTTTAAAAAAGGGTAGAACCATTGCAGGGAAAAAGGAATCTGAATTAGCTTCTCTAGCAAGTTAACATTGACAACATATGTTCTGAAGACAGTTGAATTTTTGTGTTAAACAGTGATGTTTCTATGGATTTTTTTTGATACACAACTTTTAAAAACAGGTCAGTCTTATGAAATAAGGATGCTGGATAATCGAAAAATGGGAGACATGCCGGAGATCACTGGAAAGCTGGTAAAGGTAAGGACAAGGCTTTTAAATACTTTCTCCCACCCAATTTTAATTTCTCCCAGTTAATTTATTTTTATTTCCTTCCTTTTACCCCTTCCCATTGTTGTTGGTTTTATTGTTGCTACAGTGAGTCACACACAGATCTGACTGTGGTGCTTGAACACTTTTCAGCCTTGGGGCTTGCATCTCAGCCACATGGTCACAGAGAGTTGGTGGCACTCCTTTAGCTGTACCCACACACAGGTTTTGCCAGGATTTATATACACTTCGTTAAGGCGTGTAACTTAGAGTCACTGTGGTTGCTCACATGTGCTTGCCAGAGGTTACATGTTCTTATTTTGTTTTTGACCACACCTGACTACTGTGCTTAGGGCTGTTTCCTGACTTTGTGCTCAGGGATAACTCCTGGTGTGACTCAGGGGACCATATGTGTTGCCAGGGATTGAATCTGGTCGGCAGAATACGAAGCAAGCACCTTTCCCACTGTGCCATCTCTCTGGCCCAGAAGTCACACATTATGGCCTTTTTGATGTGCTCTTTGTCCTTTTAGGGATGGTATATTTTGGAGGATCACAAAATATACCACACCTCAGTATCTTTTGGTAGTTCTTACCCAGACCTGACTGTGAGGCTGCCTAAAACTGCTCGGACTCTAGGGACAGATACCAGGTTCATGCTTACACACTCCGGCTTTTCCCTTGCATGTGACCCTACACCTGCAAGGCAGGTTCTCTCAGCACCTACACTATTCCTCTAGGTTGAAATGAATTTCTGGTTTCGCGTTCTGACCTGAAATTTATCTTATTTTACGTATTTGTTTTATTATTATTATATATTTTTTTGCAGTGCAAAGGGTTAAACCTAGACACATGCAAGGCAAAAGCCCTACTGCTGAACTACCCCTCCCCACCCCTCATTTACATTCTTAGCAGATATTGCAATGGTTGGAAAGAATCCAGTCTTGCTGCAGGTTTTTTTTTTTTAAGAGTTTTTAATTAAATATTTAATTTCACACGAATGTCTGTTTAAAATTCTCATTTCTGATCTGTATTTACTTAAATCTAAAGTGGGAATTTTAGCAGTTACAAAGTAAACATGAAAATCCTTTGGAAACCAGTACATTAGAAAAATCTGTTGCTGTTCTGGGGAGGAAAAAAAAAAGAACAAAAACTGTTTCTAGGGCTGGAGAGGTAGCTCCATGGGTTGGAGTACATGTTTTGCATACTGGAAGCCAGAAAGTGATCCCTGAGCACCACTGGATGAACCCTCCCCCATCCCCCCCCAAAAAACTAACAACAACTTGAAAGTTAAAGATAATGTGTCTAAAAATGTAAATGTTAATATGAAACTTGAAAGTCCTTTAATTTGGGCCCGAGACGTAGGGTGCTTGCCTTGCACAACCTAGTTCAATGCCTGGTACCACATTTGGTCCTGAGTCCTATCAGGAGTGATCTTTGAGTGCAGAATCAGGTGTTCCCAAAACACAAACAAAAAGTCCTTTAACATCATCTCTCAAAATCTAAAATTAGAAATCTCTCTTCTGTGTGCAAATATATGAAGAAAAGAGTCATTCCAGCATAAGAAGAATAGCCACTGGCTGTCAGCCCAGTTCTTTTAGAGCGATGCTCAGAACCGTGCCTGCCCCTCTAGTGTCATGCAGAGGTGTATCCTTTCAACCACACCTGTACCATGGTTTGTTGAAAGCTCCATAGCACTGTAGGGCAAGGTTTATGGAGAAGTTTAATTGGGAAAACACAAAACTTCACATGGTTGCTCTATGTTAGGAGGGCGTAAGTTCTCTTAATCATCTCATCTTGACATAGAGGCATGCTAGCTAGCCTGTATGAAGCTGCAGTTCCATTTTTGAGTTCCTCCCCTCAGTGGATCTGTCATATTCGTGGGTGATCACGAGGGTGGATACTATTATGGACTATAATTTTGTTTGTCTCTGAGAAAGTCAGTTAGTTGCATAGCACCTTAGGTTCTGGGAGTTCTCTGAGAGTTCTTTTAGCACCTCTCTCATTCCTGGGACAGGAAGCCTATTGGAAAATCCTTTTGGGGAAGTGGGTCTGGTCCCCTCTGGATCAGTGTCTCAACATGAGCTTTCAGTTTGTCCCATCTGCTTCTGGGGTCTCCCAGTATACTTGAGCAGGAGAGAATTGACTCATCTACTCTTTGTCATTAGGTGATCTTATTGTTCTTCCTTTGGGCCGTCTCATCTATAGTAAGCACACACTCACAGTCCTCATTTCCCAGTGTCTAAGAAGCTTAGAAATGTTAAAGATTCTCTTGGCAAGCCCATGTTCCAGATGGTTTGTTGTTAGACAGGCCGCATGGTGCTATTGGCTCAGTTTTGGACAGATCAGCTAATTTTGCCACACCTGGTTGAAATTCAGCCTCGTCTTTCATATATATGTATAAGTTTAAGAGAAGATATACTTGAACTCAGTAAAATTTACTTCTGATGACTTTTTAAACTTTCATTTTAAAACTGTAAAAAACCTTAAACTTCTGGGTTTTTTTTGTTTGTTTGTTTTTGCTTTTTGGGTTACTCCTGGTTCATGCACTCAGGTATTACTCCTGGCGGTGTACAGGGGACCATATGGGATGCTGGGAATCAAACTGGGGTTGGCCGCGTGGAAGGCAAATGCCTTACCCGCTGTGCTATCACTCCAGCCCTGACCTTTTAAACTTTTTTAAAGAATAGCATTAAAAGTTGGAACTTGGTTTTAATACATGTCTTCTTCTAAAAATGGAATAGACCTATTATAGGGCCCATTATTGAGTTCCTTAAGACTGGATTCAAAACTTAGAATACTTTTGTGGACAGCTGGGGGGTAGTGTTCCCGAACAGTGCTCAGGGGCCACCAGGACTACCTCAGTGATCCTTAGGGAGAACTTACCAACATGCACAGGTTAAGAGAGAAAGAAATCATGAGTCATCATGTCTTGAAATCATGTTATTTGGGAGATGGTAGGGCAGGAGCACTAAAGTAGTATTCATACATATTAGGAACGAATTATTTAGGCCAGCTACTGAGAATACAGCCATTTTATTGCATCACAGTCTGAAAAAGTTACTTATAAATATGTTAGGAACACTTGCAAGTGCAAATCTGGCTTTCAAGTGCACTTTGATGGTCTAGAATGAAGTATCAGTTGGTACCTTAGATGTCTGGGAGGAGAAAGGAGGGCAGGAGTGGGTGGAGAGCAGAGAATTAGCTCAGGATTTGTTAGTGGAGTTGGTACTAGAGTGAATGAAATGTGTGTGTGTTCTTTTGCTTATTTTAGGATCACTCCTGACAGGGCTGGGGGGCACATGTGGGGTACTGGATAACAAATCCGGAGTGGTCACATACAAAGCAAACAACCTATATGCTCCAGTCCCAGAAATAGAATTCTTGATCACTAACTTTAGTTTTGATCACTTACTTTAATTTTAACCTTAATTCTTTTTTTTTTTTTTCTCTTTGGGTCACATCCAGTGATGCACAGGGGGTACTCCTGGCTCTGCACTCAGGAGTTACTCCTGGCAGTGCTCAGGGGACCATATGGGATGCTGGGAATCAAAACCAGGTTGGCCGCGTGCAAAGCAAATGCCCTACCCACTGTGCTTTCAAATTTTTTAATAAAAATAATGCCTATATAATGATTTTGTGACTTTCATTTTTGTGTAAATAGAATCCAAGAGTATCTAGATTATCTAAGAGCAAATTAATTCATTTGTAAAATATTTAATTTTGATGACAGTATTTGTTTTCAAAGGTTAACACATAAGAAGTGAAATGCAGGATGTAGCTCAAGTGATACATCACCCTCTGTAAATCTCCTTACTGCTCTCTTCTCTCTCTCTCTCTCTCTCTCTCTCTCTCTCTCTCTCTCTCTCTCTCACACACACACACACACACACACACACACACACACACTACGTCCAGTCATGGCACCACATAACTCTCACCCTGCACATACCCTTACTGGTTTCATCATGGCACCATATAACACCCCCCCCACACACACACACACAACATCCCACACACCATATATATATAGATATATAGCACTGTATCACTGTCCTCCCATTGTTCATCGATTTGCTCGAGCAGGCCCAGTAACGTCTCCATTTTGAGACTTGTTGTTACTGTGTTTGGCATATTAAATACGTCACGGGTAGCTTGCCAGGCTTTGCCGTGCAGGCGAGATACTCTTGGTAGCTTGCTGGGCTCTCCGAGAGGGGCGGAAGAATCGAACCTGGCCTGGCCAGGTGGTGGCGCACAAGGCAAATGCCCTACCGCTGTGCTATCGCTCTAGCATATATATGTGTGTGTGTGTGTGTGTGTGTGTGTGTATATATATATATATATATATATATATATATTCACTTAGGTACTTTATACACACTCTCTGGGTCATGTGCACATACATACCCCTGAACCCCTCCATTGCTGCCATATATGGCTCCAACAACAGAAATGAACTCAATTAAAATGCTTTAATTTTACCTGAGAAAGCTAATTTCCTCCCCGACCCCCCACCCCTCACTTACTTCCTAGAGCATCATCAGAGTTGTGTTCCATGACAGACGGCTACAGTACACAGAGCATCAGCAACTTGAAGGTTGGAAATGGAATCGCCCAGGAGACAGACTTCTTGATTTAGGTACGGGTGGTTGCAGGCTATGAGGAGGAGGAGACCTTTTTGCTGTATTGACTAATATGGTGGCACCACGTATGGATATATGGAAAGGGTTTCAGTGTTAGCAGTTGCCTTGTGTTGTTTAACTGTTCAAAATTGTTACTAGGGTTGGAATGTACCTCTGTGGTATATGGCATGTCTTGCATGCATTAGATGTAAGTCAATCCCTGGCATTTTCCCCCACCCCCAGTGTCTTATAGTTCAAAAGCTTATCTTTGATTCTAAAAGAATCACGACTAAGATATCTATGAGTTTAAAGCCATTTATTTCATTTTCAATGGATACCACTTATCATATTAATATAGTGAAATAGAAACCAGGATGGGAGAAACTAGGATATTCATTAGGTGGATTTTGGATTAACCATGGAAAACAGTGGAGGAAAAAGTGTAGCATGGAGATATTATGACTTTATTAGGCATAGTAAGCCTATAAACATAATGGATGAATTTCTATATAACTTCTTTTTTAAAATATAGATATCCCAATGTCTGTGGGAATAATTGACACCAGGACAAACCCAAGCCAGTTAAATGCAGTTGAATTTCTGTGGGACCCTGCAAAGCGCACGTCTGCTTTCATTCAGGTTTGCATTTTTATATTTATCGAAGCATATTTACTTAGTGATTTAGGTGACCATGGATGGAATTGAATTCTGGACACTTGATCTAGTTTTCTTTAAATGCTTGTTGATGTCTGTAATGCCTTTTGCTGCCTTTCATTCACTGTTAAAATGGAATCATTCTACTATATTTTCATTTATAGACTCATGCAATTTGTTATGCAAAGTATTATTTAAATGTTCCTTTTGCCAAGGATAGCAGCAACAATCAAAGCTTGTATCTATTGTAAAATGCATTTTTGTTGAACAAAAGTGGTGTTTAAAGGATTGGGTTGAGAAACTCTACAGTTTTAAGATCCTCGAATTATTTTAAAGTTTTCTAGTACTGAAATTTTCAAACTGCCACAAAAGTAAGTTGATGACAGTAATAATGATTCCTGTTGTATACTGATGACTTGGATAATTACTTCCTCCATCTTGGTTATTGATGGGATTCTTTTAGCTTCCAGGCATTCTGTTTAAATGCATAATTTTTTATTTGAGGAGGTGGAAGTGAGAGGGGTTTTGGGTCACTTAGTGGTGCTCAGAGGCTGTTCCTGTCTTTGTGCTCTGAAGTGACCCCTGACAGTACTCAGGGCACCATATGCAGTACAGAGATTGAACAGGGGTTGGCTACTTGCAGGGTGCATGTTTAACTTCTCTTTCCAGCTCTTAAGAAATGAAAAATTTTTCCTTCACTAGTTTTTGACCACACCCAACAGTGCTCAAGGCCTACTCTTTCCTCTAAAGTCGGGATTGCACCTGGAGATGCTTGGGGTATTACATATGGCGCCAAGGACCAAACCAGATATGACTGCTGGGGCACTGGAATCATGTAGTGCTGGGGATTGAACCAAGATTGCATGCAGATCAAGCACTATAACCTTTGTAATATTTCTCTAGCTCTAAGAAATAAGTTTTTAAGGCATAAATATTGAGGTCAGATAGCTCAGAGAACTTCAGCACCACTGGGAGTAACCCCTGAGCAAGTGAGCCAGGAGTAGACTTGAACACCATTTGGGCATGACCCAAAACATTAAAAAAAGAAAAAATCCACTAGACATATAAAGGCTAATAAATGTTATTGTATATAGTCAGTTCCCAGTGTAAAATAAACTTAATGTGTTAAAATTTGTAGGTGGTAGAATTAGAGCTAGTACATATTCATTCAGTCTTTGTGTAGGGGAAAAAAAAAACTACTTAATTACTGACCAGCCTAAGTAGACAATGGTTTGTGTAAACTGTATAGAATCTTTAGAATTTTGTGTTTCTCTAGTTTACCCTATATTATACCATATCAACTAACAATCACCATGGACATGGTTCAGATTAGTTGAATAATATTTTTGGCAGGATCACTAGCTATGGGCTGGAGTGATAGCACAGCGGGTAAGGTGTTTGCCTTGCACACAGCCGACCCGGGTTCGATTCCTCTGTCCCTTTTGGAGAGCCTGGCAAGCTACCAAGAGTATTCTGCCCACATGGCAGAGCCCGGCAAGCTACTGTAGCATATTTGATATGCCAAAAACAGTAACAACAAGTCTCACAATGGAGACGTTACTGGTGCCCACTCGAGCAAATCAATGAACAACGGGAGGACAGTGCTACAACTAGCTATATGCAGCGAGTAAAGATTGTGAAAGCTGTTGTATATCTCAGGCAGTGCACAGTCACAGAGGTCATTTGTCATGTTAGTCTTTAAGGAGAGAGAATGAGTAACAGTCAGAGATTCCTAAAGGCTTAAGATTCACTGTGCAGTACTCTAAAGGTGTCATCAGGTTGAAACTAGGAGAGAGGACAGAAGTGGTATTAGATTAATATTGCCCTGGTGGTCTCTGTGAACTTTGAAGGTTTGCTGAAGAATTTAGCAGAGTACAAGTGGGGTAAGTAGTGGTCTTTCTTCTGGACTTTGGAAACTCCTTAAGCCACATTTCACACGTTGCAATATATAAGAACAGTTGATTGTCTCAAGTTGGGTAGTGGCAGCAGAGGGCAGACAGTGGAAGGTGAGGACTGATAAGGTGAGGACTGCTCAGGAGGGAGCCACCCCAGGTCTGAGAAGAGCATTGCATCTTGAGTGGGGATAGAATGTTGTAGCTTTGATATGAATCTTGTAGCTATTTAATTTCCACTAAAGGAGAGGCATTAGAATGGGGAAGAGCTTATTTCCCTCCGAATGTTCAGAAAGGTTTATTTGGATTTTTGTAGTAAAAAATGATAGAAATTCAGGATAGGCATGGGAGCAATATGTAGGAGTTATTTCTAAAGGACCTTGAACTTAAAATGGTGGCAAGACATCCAAGAGGGAATGAACTACAAGAATGAAAGGAGCCATACTTTGAGACCATTTGCATTTAAATTATTTTCTAGGTACACTGCATCAGCACAGAATTTACTCCACGGAAGCATGGAGGTGAAAAGGGAGTGCCTTTTAGAATCCAGGTTGATACCTTTAAGCAGAATGACAATGGAGAATACACAGATCACCTACACTCAGCTAGCTGCCAAATCAAAGTTTTTAAGGTAAGAGGCAGAGAACTGGCTTTCGGTAATAAAGGCTTGCTCTTGCTTGTAAAATTGTGTACTCTAATAAATGAAGTAATCTCCTTTGTTTTTAAGCCGAAAGGTGCAGACAGGAAACAAAAAACTGACAGAGAGAAGATGGAGAAGAGAACTGCTCACGAAAAAGAAAAGTATCAACCCTCCTATGATACCACAATCCTCACAGAGGTAATGCGAGTTGCATCTTGGGTTCTGAGAGGCAGCAGAGGTTTGCTTGTTAGCACTGTCTCTAAAGAGGAGTTTGGCTACAATTGGGTTGGGGAAGATTGGGTAGCAAATTGACAGTCTTCGTTGTGAAATCTGTGGGTATATTAATTTTTTTAATTTGGGGGTTTTAATGAATTAAATTCCTGGGTGGGCTTTTGGATGAAGATGCTGAAATCCCAATCAGGTCTTAGAAACAGACCTTTAAAACTTTGACATTTGGCAGAAAATTAAGTTGGGGCCTAGACCATCTGAATCTTTTTTAAAATCACTGCTGGGGTTTTGCATTTTCTTTAACTTTGAATCTTGCTAGTCATACGTTTATTTAATTGGACTGCAGAGGCATAAAATAGGGTATTAGATCTTTCTTTGTATAATGAAAAGACATTGATCCCAATCTTTGGTGTTTGTCCAGATGAGGCTTGAGCCTATAATTGAAGATGCAGTTGAACATGAGCAGAAAAAGTCCAGCAAGCGGACTTTGCCAGCAGACTACGGTGATTCTCTGGCAAAGCGAGGCAGTGTAAGGGACTTCTGCTTCTCTTTTCATTGTGCAAGAGACCTTGTGCAGTGTTAGATATAGGACCAACCTCCACCGAAAAGTAAAGCCAAATTTGGTTTTGATGTCCTTGTCTTGATTTAATTTGCCTTTGTTTAGACTTCCTGCTTTCTGTTTATTCCTCACTGAGGAAAATTTCCTAAATCTAACACTTTCAAACCAAGCAAAAACAATGTTGACCATAGTGGGTGGTTTTGGACGGAAAAATGACACCCAGAAATATTTGTTCCTTCTCTGCCTCCTTCCCCCTTCCACCCTCCCCTGCGCTTGCACACACATACACACACACACACACACACACACAGAAACACAACTCTCTCTCTCTCTCTCTCTCTCTCTCTCTCTCTCTCTCTCTTTCTCTTTCTCTTTCTCTCCCTCCCTTCAAGAGCACGGAAGTGAATTGGAAATACTTTCAGTACAATGACTACATTTTGTGTAATTAACAAAAATTTTGTTTTCTCCTGTGTATGACAGATAAGAAAATGTCCTGGGTCTCTAACGAAATGGCAGCAGCAAGCTTGGCATTAACATGCATTACTGTGTCACATTTCCCTGCATGTATAAGAATGCGTGTCTGTCTGTGCTTCTAAAAGCCTGTTTGGCAGCACTGGTAGAAACGTCTTTGACTGTTAGCGCTTCCCCATGGCCCACCTACGCTGTGACTGCATGCTGCAGCCTGAACAGTGCACCTTGCTGTCCTGCACTTGGGGCTCTTGGTTAAACATGAACTTTGTCAGCTGGAGTATAGCAAATCTTTGTTTTACATTATTCAAATCTATATACTGCAACTCTTACTCTAGTGGTCCACAAAGGAGTATCTTCTTGTCCCTCCCCTGCCCCATGTACCCCAAATTAATGTAAATACACAGCATTTAAATAACTTTTCACAGACTTTCAAAAAAAGTCTTATGCTTTAGTGTTATTCATCATTATTCATCACTGTAGTGTTTGTGTGATGGAGGTGCCAAAAATGGAGTATTTGCTCTAACTCATGTATCAGTAGACTTTGAAAGTCACATGCATTATTATAAATTCTCATTTTCGAATTAAAGCAGTGAGTGAAAATGTTTTAAGTATTTCTTTATGTAATAAAATTGAAAGTGCACTGGTTTAAGTACCATGGGAACATACATGCTGTACTTCAACTGGGCTTTTAAAAAGTCAAATCAAAACTTGATGGGAACTGGAAAACCTCTTTACCAGAATACTCATTGCTCCAATTTTATGTTTTTATCTTCTTCTGATTTTCCAGCTGAAGATTCACAAATGGGTCTTAGTAAACTTTTGGGGGCAGACCCTGGTAACTCGAACTCTTAGTATGAACTATTTAAAACGAATGGTTTCTTGAAAATTCGTAATTTTTTAAAACCCAGTGATAGCCCAGAACTAAAGATGTTAGAATTATTAATAAATTATAAACGATTCTTAACACAAGTCTAAAGTATGCAAAACGTCAGCAGTTCACTGGCCTGGGATTTCACATCTTCCTGGTGCTTATTGCTCGCACCCACTCAATTACCTTTGATTTGGTCAAGATTGATTTTCTGGGGTGCTAGAGCCCCTCTTTGGAATTCTTTTTTTTTTTAAAGCAAGGGATGGTATATGGCTCAGGTGATGGAGCACAAGCTTTATGTTTGTGAGCCTGAGTGGACCCCGGCACCCATGACCCAGATGCACTGCTGGGTGTGGCCCCACATTTTAATAGAAAGAACGTATTAATCCCGTAAGAAAGTTTGAAGTACTTCATCTATTTTTTTCAGGTGCCTACAAAGACAGGTACTTTTTTGAAGTTATAGTTGGCTTTAGTAGAAAGGGATATTCTAGGGGCCAGAATGATGGATAGTACAATAAGCGGGTAGGACGCTTTCCTTGCACGTGGCCGACCCGGGTTCCATCCCAGGCATCCCAGGAGAAATGCAAGTACAGAGCCAGGAGTAACTCCTGAGCACTGTGCACAGGGTATGGTCGTATAGGGGGCAAGGGGGTAGGAAGAGCGGCCGGGATCGTAGCTTACCTCTGAACAGTGTAAAAGGTATAGGTATGATGTAAAAAGATTATTTTAAAGGGTCCCTGCTATTGATTCTTAGGAGATGCCTCAAAGGAAAACTCTCAGGACGGGTGGGGGGTGGAGGGGAAGTGATGGATGGGGGCAGGGCTGATGCTCAACAGTAGAGCACTTGCCTTGCGTGTGTGAAGCCCTGAATTTGATCCCCAGCACCACAAGAAAAGAAGCCTGTAGTCTGTCCACTGGTCTTTGCCTCCAAGCTGTATATATTGGTTCAGATCAGAAATGCCAATTTCCAGTCTTAAGAGGAGCCATTATTTTTTAATCTCCCTAGGAAAGGACTTTGTTTACATCGTTTACAGTGTAGCAAAAACATGACTGTTGGAGTCCAGGCCAGGCAGTGTTAAGTGAGTTGCCTGGTGTCCTCAGGAATCACAGGCTTTGTTCCATTGCTTTCTTTCAGAGACAGGGAAGAATTATGAGGTAGGAGAAATGTAATAATATTCCTTGGCATGCCTTTACCCTCCTGGGCTGAGACTGCAGAAGAAACCTGTAGAACATATGCAGCCACGTGTTTCACTCAGCTTGACCATTTGAGATCTGGAATCCAAGACTTGCTAAAAGTGTAGGCCAGGCCTCCAGCAGGACCATCTTTCATTGTACACTAGGAATACCAGTTATTTCCCTGTTCTATGAGTTGAGCCTCACTGGGAAATTTATAGATGCCAACTATTAGCAGCCCTACTTTACCACTGCTAAAAAATTCTAGATATGTGAATGTGAAATAGCCATGTGAGTAGAGTTCTGGGGAATTTGGGGCTTACAGCTATATACCGTTCTCTGCCCGTTTCTTCAGCTGAGTAGCTGTCAGTAATCGCCAGAGCGTATGTGGGGAGCCGGGATAGGAAAGTCTGCATTATTTAGATGTTGTGTATCTGGGGAGGTTTATGTGTATAAGGAACCTCTTGCAGGCAGTGGAGGTGACCTTGCACATGTGCTGTCCAAATGACTAGAGCAGCCGTTGGGCTTGCAAGGACTTGGCTTCCTCAAACTGTGTTAGAAGCTACGAAGATGAAACTTTGTAAGAAGGGAGGCAAGACTGAGGCCCCGTTTAAAAGAGTAAGCAATGTGTAAAATATCATTTATAGAGACAGTGGTGTGTCGTGTGGTAAACTGAGCAAAGCCGTCCAACTTGGTTAATTTTTGAAAGTTGATAGTTGAAGCAATAAGCCTGTGATTGTTTCCCCTATATTTGAGGAGATAATGGGTATTTGTGAAGAACATTAAGGTTTCTTGGATTTTGATTTTTTTTTTCTTTTTGGGTCACACCTGGAGATGCACAGGGGTTACTCCTGGCTCTGCACTCAGGAGCCACTCCTGGCGGTGCTCAGGGGACCATATGGGATGCTGGGGATCGAACCCAGGTTGGCTGTGTGCAAGGCAAATGCCCTACCCGCTATGCTATCTCTCCAGCCCAGGATTTTGATTTTTATTACCCTTACATACATTTTTCTGGATGTTATCAGAGATGTTTGAGTCTTCTGTAACCATCCAGCAGATTTTATTTCTGTCCTCGGAGTGTTTCGGTCTCTTTTTTCACTTATATGTTCTTGACACACACTCCTAAGTATTTTTCAAAAATCTCTTGCACATTTTTATTTATCCTATTTTTTATTTTTCTTGCACATTTTTTAGATTTTCATATGAAAAGTTTCATCATAAGTTTGAATAATGACTCAAGTTAAACCTGTTTAATTGTATTTTTAAATAATCTTAGGAAATCTAGTATCATAGAAGTTTGACATCCACTATTGTTTATTTGTTTATTTATTGGCTTTTTGGGTCACCTATGGAGATGGTCAGAGGTTTGTTCCTGGTAGTGCTCCCAATTTGACTATGTGCAACCCTACCGGCTGTGCTATCGCTCTGGTCCCCTTGATATCTTTCTTGATCTCAGATTATCTCTACTACTACCTAAAACAAATTTGTATGAATGTAAATTCTACTTTTTAACGTTTCCAGTGATGTAAGGCTCTTAGCTATTTACAGAACTGTATTATTTTGGTGCCCACTTATTGAAACAACATACCATAGGAATTCTGATGAATAACTGTTAAGTAGGAAAACAAGTTAACAGGATCAGAGCAAATTAGTGCAGCAGTTGCATTGCATGCCGACAACCCAGGTTTGATCCCTGGCGTCCCAGTCCCTCAGTCCCCACCAGAAGTGACCCCTGAGCACAGACCCAGGATTAAGTCCTGAGCATTGCCAGGTGTGGCCCCGAAGAGGGTGGGAGGGGAGGTAGGGTAATAGATGGGCTGGAGAGACAGTGCAGGGGGAATGCATTTACTTTGCAAGAAGTCTACCCAGGTTTGATTCCTGGCACTGCATGTGGAACTGCATGTGTTGCCAAGAGTAATTCATGAGCAGAGCCAGGTTATTGGGAATGCATCTTGGATAGACCATAATTAAATTATGATTTTATCTCTTTCAGTACATAAGAGAAGCTTTTTATATATCTTTATTTTCCTTTCAGCAGTGTCATTTTGATACTGCAATCTTTGTTTTGTTTTGTTTTGTTTTGTTTTCTCTTTTTGGGTCCCACTCGGTGATGCACAGGGGTTACTCCTGGCTCATGCACTCAGGAATAACTCCTGGTGGTGCAAACCTTTTGAAGAGATAGTGCAGAAACTCTTAGTAGTTATTTCAGTATTTCAATTGGCAACAGAACCACCTAATTTTTCTCTTATTTTGGAAAGTAAAACTTTGAAAACTGCTTGCCAGGAGACTTTTTAGTCACTGGAGTTATATATTTTCTTAGTATCTGTCGTAAAAATTTTGAGTGGGTTTTTTTTTTTTTTTTTTTGCATTTTGCATTTTGGGAAGTCTTCTATCCAACAGCCACAGTGAGATATGATACCCTCTTTTGTGTGTAAAGAGAGATTATGAAAGGGGACTTGAAAAATCGAGAGTGTTCTCAGGCTGGTTCTTAGTTTTAGAAAGAATGTGTACCAGGGATAAAGAAAGAATACAAGAGTTAAGGCACTTACCCTGCGTGTGGCTGACTATGGTTCAGTCCCCACATCACATATGCTCCCCTAACCACAGAACCAGGAATAAGCCTCTGAACACTGCCAGATGTATTGCCCTGCCCCACCCCCAGTTTTCCTGCAGTGAAAAAGATCACTATTTTGAGGCCATCTTGCCCTGAAGACTTCAGCTTTTTCAGCTCACCTAATTGTGTTAGTGTCTTTGTATCTTCTCAGTATTTGTTAGAATTGTGATTGAAAAACGATTGAGTCTACAACACCCCAACCGGCAGTATAAATATGAACAGGAACAGGTAGATACCAGCAGAGCAGACACAGCTGATGAATTTTGATGCTGGACCTATCTCTTCTTAGAGCTAAGGAAGCAGCTGGACCTGTGAGGCTGCTCTTTGGGAATGAGGCTTGGACAGAGCCACTGGCCCAGTGATGTTGGGTGTTGCATACGAGCCCCTTCCTTACCTCTGTTGTTCTGAGCCTTGATCAAGGCACCTGTTGGGGATACTGAGGGACGGGGTGGGGGGGCGGGTGGAAGTTTTGAAAAGCAAATTGTACAATAAGTGTTCATTTAAAATGTCTTTGTAAATTTTTGCTGCTATCATCACTTCAGGTCTTCTAAGATAAATCAGTATCTAGACGCAGACAGCAGGTAAAATTTCTCAGTGCCACACCGAAGCAAATTTGGTGTTTCTGTGGGGTTGCTTGGTGAGTGTCAGGTGTCTTCTGTTATAAAATGTTGCATTTGACCGGACTATAGTGTGAATTGGAATAGATCCATGTGCATTTAAGTGTATATTAAATAGTTTTTATTTCTGTCCTCAGTGTTCTCCGTGGCCTGATGTGCCCACAACCTATGTGAATAACAGCCCCTCAACAGCGCCTGCGTTCACCTCCCCACAGCAGACTACTGGCAGCGTCCCAGACAGGTACTGGTGTGTGAGTGTGTGGGGGGGGCATCCCTGCAGCTGCCTGAGACCTGTCCTCCAGCATCTCCCTTTCCCTTTAGAGCAGCTTTCTGAAAAAACATCTCTGAAACCTATTGAAACTTAGCCGCTACCTAAATTTCAGAGGGAAAACATCTCATACCAGTTCCTTTGCTCCTAGCCCGGACCCTTGTGCTGCACACATTCACATCTGGGGAAGTTGTGGTTTTTTTTTTTTCTTAAAACAAATAAACAGAAAGGTGGGGGTCATGCTTAAGAAATAGCCAATGTATTCTTTATGCAGTAAAAATAGCTTCATTGTAGGGGAGAATGAATAGAAAAGGGAGCAGAGGAGATAGTACAGTGGGGAATCCAGGCACTTGCCTTGCACACAGCAGACCTGGTTTAATCCCTGGCACCCCATATGGTCCCCTCAAGCCCTGCCAGGAGTGATCTGTGAGCACTACTGGGTGTGGGTTCCCCACCACCAAAGTAAATTGAATAGAGAGAGGCAGTTGTTTAGATGAATTATTACTTGAACATGTTAAGATTTAATTTAGGGGCTGGAGCAATAGCACAGTGGGTAGGACATTTGCCTTGCATGCTGCCGACCCGGGTTCAATTCCCAACATCCCATACGGTTCCCCAGCCACTGCCAGGAGTACTTCCTGAGTGTATGAGCCAGGAGTAACCCCTGTGCATCGCCGGGTGTGACCTGCCCCCCCAAAAAAATATTTAATTTATCACAAAGAATATCTTTTAATGCATTATGAGAGAGAGAGAGGGAGGGAGGGAGAGGGAGTTTATTTTGTGCCTTTTTCCTCACTCCCAACACTTTCAAAATACAAACTTTGAAGGACTTCCAGTTTCTGAAGATGTTCCGTGGCTTTAGAAATGGGGGTGGGATGGTGAACTTGACCCAGTGTTTGCTTCTGCTCTGGGGGCCTGTCTGTGAAACCCAGATTCAAACTAGGGTCATGTTGCAGCTCCCCAGGCACCTTTCCCCTCCTACCATCTCTTGAGCCCTTTTCTAAGACTTTGAAGAACTGACCCAGGAAAGTCAGACCTGCAATATCCCTGTTGGTTTTCATTTTTATTTTACTCCAGAAACTGGAAGAACGAGTAGGTGGGTGTTGGATCACATTCTACAGTACTCAGGACTTACTCCTGGCTCTGTGTTCTGGGATCACTCCTAGTGGAGTTTAAGGGATCATATGTGGTGCTGGGGATTGAACCTGGGTCTGCCACATGCAAGGCAAGTGCCCTGCTGCTGTACTGTCTCTCCGGCCCCATCAAGGGAGTTTGCTTTCTTCCTCTTATTTTCTTTTCCTTTCACTTGAATTATGCCTTCTTGTACCTCATTTTCATAAAGTAGTTTTTTGTTTTTGCAGGTTTTTTTTTTGGGGGGTAGGCCATACCCAGTGATGCTCAGAGGTTACTCCTAGTTCATGCACTCAGGAATTACCCCTGGCGGTGCTCAGGGGACCATATGCGATGCTGGGAATCGAACCCAGGTCAGGCCGTGTGCAAGGCAAACGCCCTACCCGCTGTGCTATACCTCCAGCCCCTGCAGGAGCTTACTAATTACAAATTAATAAGATAGTTAATTTTTAACTCTCTTACTTGACTTCTTCTTTTCCCCCTAATTAAACTGATATGTGTTCCCTCTTTTCTTGGCACCTCTGAAAGTAATTCTTACTAGAACAGATGGAGGAGGAGGCTCCAATTAAAAAATTGTCTTCTGGGGCTGGAGTAATAGCACAGCAGGTAGGGCATTTGCCTTGCACGGGGCCAACCCGGGTTCAATTCCCAGCATCCCGTATGGTCCCCCGAGCACTGCCAGGAGTAATTCCTGAGTGCAGAGCCAGGAGTAACCTCTGAGCATCGCTGGGTGTGACCCAAAAAGGAAAAAAAATTGTCTTCTGTCCTTATTGCACCATCATATTCACTCCTGACCAGTTCCAGAATTCTTACTGAAAATGTGCTTTTCTTGGAGCCAGTTTTATTTTAAATTTGCCTAATTGAAGTGCCTTTAATATTGTCACTTAAAAATGCACATTCTGGACCCAGGTGGAGGCTCACAGGGCTAGGGTACGTGATTTACTTGCAGAATTCCTGGGTTTGGCTCCCAACGCTGCCTGTTCATTCAGCAAAACCAGTAGTAGCCCTTCAGGACCACTGGGAGTAGCCCAAAAATCAACACAATCTAAACAAAACAGACTCCTATCCTAATCATTCTTTTTCCATTCTTCATAGCAATTCTTCTTCCCCAAATCATCAGGGAGATGGAGTTTCACAGTCCTCTGGTGAAGTAAGTATCTGTTTGCTTTTTGGTGTGTGCATGCCCAGCAGTGCTCAGGGATTACTCCTCGCAGGCTCAGGGGATCATATGGATGCCAGTGTTCCAACCTGGGTTGGCCGCATGCAAGACAAGCGTCCTACCTTCTGTACTATCTTTCCAGCCCGGAAGTCCAGCATTTTTATTATTTTACTCTATATAAGGCAACCCCCATCATTGTGTGGGGGAGGGAGGGACATGGGTGACATTCAGCTGATAATCTGGGCCTGAAGGCTCAGTACTGAGCTTGGAGACTCGGTGCTCTTTGGGCCTAGTGCTTCCCTCAGCTGGCGTGGGGGCCAGAACTGAGGGCCTTGCCAGTGACAAGGTGTGCTCTCTGACGCGAATTATCACCTTGGCCTCCGAGCCTGCGTTTCCAAGACTCTACCAAGGTCTTTAAAAGCACAAACCTTTGTTCTTCTCTGTTACTTTACTTTTAAAACTGTCAGATTTCTGAGTTTTATTTGCATGATCTTAATCACACATCAGTGACTTAGGCCATCTTGAGTAAGTTTGAAGTGTCCCTTTTGTGTAATTACACGCCAGTAACTTGGGCCATCTTGAGGGAGTTTGAATTGTCGCTTTTGTGTGATTACAGCAACTTCAGCCCGCAGCCACCACCCAGGAAACACAGCAGTGGTTGCTCAAGAACAGATTTTCCTCCTACACAAGACTGTTCTCCAATTTTTCAGGTGTGTGTGGTTTTTATTTGTTTTGTGCTTTTATTAACTTTATTTTCAATTTCTGAATAATTATAAGCTCATTGAGAAATGTCCCCCCTCCCCGCCGCTCCTCCGCCTCCCCCCCCCCCCACACACACACGGGGAAGTCCTGTGCTCCTGTCATTCACTTACCCTGATGACATCATCATGCATCCCTGCTGGGTGCTGGTCCAGCAGGACGCTGATTATGACCAGTCAGCGCCTCCTGCACGCTGTGTTTGTCATGGCCACTTTTCATTTGTTAATTTATTATTTTGAAATAATTTTTGCTTTACAGTAAGATGAAAGGATAGTGCAGAGACACTCCATTGTGCCCTTTCCATTTCTCACATCATTGTAGTCCATAGGAAAGCCAACACGTGGACATTGGTGCGGTCAGTGGAATGAAAAGGCGTCATTTTGTCCCATGCATGTCGGCATAGCTGCCATTGAAGTTACAATACAGAATCATTGCCACAAGGCTCTTCCTTGTGTTGCCCACGCCCCTTCTCCTCTCTCCCTATTTCCCTAGCAACCATTCATCTGCTTTTGTCATTTAGAGAATGTTCAGTAATGGAATCATATAATACGTTATGTTTAGAGATGGGCATTTTCCCATTCAGCACAATGGCCTTCAGTCTATTCAAGCTGTTGGATGTACCAGTAGTTGGTTCTTTGTATTGTTGTGTAGTATTGCATGGTATGAATATACTCAGGTCTGGTTTTTATAAACCTCAGTGTAATTATTTTTCTTGCACAGTGAACTCGGTATATTTAGATGGAATTTTAAAAGGTGCAGTGCTTCTGCAGGTGGTACTCTGGAAACCAGTGTCGAGGGTCTGCAGTAGTTAGATGCACCAGGTGGACCAGGGTTGGCAGCACCTCCCAAATATGTTTGGCCCCTGGACCCTTTTCTGCGAACACTGACAAGCACTACTCACCAGGCACATCCTAGGGAATGAGGGGCCACATAAAATTGCTAGTCAGCCTTTTTTCCCATGGTGGGGCCATAGGAACACTGCTTACGCCTTTTTAGAAGAAGAGCACAGGTGTGTGTATCTGGGGCTAAGGAAATCTTATTTGACAAAGACATGGTCTCCTATGAATTGTAGTACTGTGCAGTGATTACTCATTCGTCATGGAGCTTTTTGTCTCTTTAAAATACACTGGATGAGAAAATGGCAGAGAGTACTGCAAGTAGGGTGCTTGTTTTGTCATGTGGCATATGACATGAGCACAGCCAGGAGCAAGCCCTGAAACACCACTTGGTAAATCCCCGAAAAGGAAAAAACAAGCAAAAAAGCTGAGTGAAAGTCATTTGCTAGGTGGTTTCCATTTTTCTTTTTTATATGACTAAGTTTGTAGGGTTGGAGCAATAGCACAGCGGGTAGGGCGTTCACCTTGCACGCAGCCAATATGGCCAACCCGAGTTTGATTCCTCCGCCCCTTGGAGAGCCCGGCAAGCTACCGAAAGTATCTCGACCACTCAGCAAAGCCTGGCAAGCTACCCATGACGTATTCTATATGCCAAACACAGTAATAAGTCTCACAATGTTACTGGGCCCGCTCGAGCAAATCGATGAACAACAGGAGGACAGTGACAGTGATTTGAATATGAATCTTTGGGCTGGAGCGATAGCGCAGCAGTAGGGCGTTTGCCTTGCGCACAGCCAGCCTGGCCGAGCCAGGTTTGATTTCTTTGCCCCTCTCGGAGTGCCCAGCAAGCTGCCGAGAGTATCTCACCCACATGGCAAAGCCTGGCGAGCTACCCGTGACGTATTCAATATGCCAAACACAGTGACAACAAGTCTCAAAATGGAGACGTTACTGGGCCCGCTTGAGCAAATTGATGAGCAACAGGAGGACACTGCAGTGCTAAGTTTGTAATTCCATCAACGGCCAAGACCCAGAGACCATAAAACCAAGCTTCCAGAAGCGCGCGGCCGCATTTGCGTGTATTTGCAGCCACGCGACCTCTTATTGTCTAGTTCTTGCTCTCGGAGAACCCGAGAGTATCCTGCCCGCACAGTAGAGTCTGGCAAGCTCCCCGTGGCGTATTTGATATGCCAAAACCCAGTAACAATGGTGGGTCTCATCCCCCTGACCCTGAAAGAGCCTCCAGTGTGGCACTTGCTAAAATCTCAGGGCTAGGATGAATGGAGACGTTACTGGTGCCTTCTCAAGGAAATCGATGAACAACGAGATGACAATGATACAGTGAAGTTTGTTTTATATGGTAACTAGAAACAGATTTCAGTATTTGGTGCATGGGTGCATCTTGAACCCTTACAGAGAAGACAGATGAAGATGTGGCACGTAGAAAAGATGGCAGTTGGCACTGATGAGTTCCCTAGGTCATGCCTGTTACACCAGCTGGTCACATATTTGCACCTGGAGAGTTCTCAGCATTTCACTGGGCGCCTCTGGCTTGTCTTTATATCGTGTGAGCTTCCCAACAGTCGGAAGGTGTGGAGGCTTCAGGCATCCAGATCAGAGCCTGTGGGCGTTCCATTCACTGTCCGCAAGATTCACCCCCACTCTCTGGGCTAGGTACTTGTATGCACATATCTCTGGTCACTACTGGGAGCCTGTATTCCCAGCTCTGTGGCAGGGCCTAGGAGAACAGCGAACGACAGTATCTTGACTGATGTGGCTCCAAGAAACAATTCTCTTGGTGTTTGCCTTACTAAAGACACGCTTCTCTTGTCTTGTGTATGCATGTGCTGGGGTATGTGTGCTCTCATATTCCATCACTTAGGATCTGAAAACTGTTACTGTTACATATTAGAAAGATACTTTATTTCTTTTAGTCAACCGTGTCTTGGGTGTTAACAAAGGGGTGAAATAAAGACTGTGGCCACACAATGCAATTCTGTGCCATGCTTCTGTTTGGAGCTGCAGTGGTTGCTGAAAGGGGTAGGTCACATGTTTGCCTTCACTTTGCATGTTGCAGTGCAAAGAAGCCTGATCCCAGGTCTCAAAATTACTGAGACTTGGGCAAGTCTTTAAACACTGGCTTTTTGGATTTTCCTTTTGGGGTGACTGAGGGGATGCACACCTTGCTGTGCTCAGGGATCACTCCTGATGGGACTCAGGGGACTGACCATATGTGGGGCTGAGGATCAAACCTGAGTCAGCGCCACACAAGGCATGCACCCTACCTGCTGTACCTCTGAATAGTACAGATTTTCCTTTTTTGGTAAAAGATTGGTCTGGCAGAATCTCACAGTTATTACATAGGTTCAAAATCAGAATTATATTTGTCTGCACATCACCATCTAGTCAAAATAAGGTCAGCAGTGAAAACTGAAACAGACAGCCCTGTCTCGGTGATTAGATTTGTCCATCTCTGGGCTTAAGTTCTTTCTTAAGCCCAGAAGGTAAAGGAAAGCGCTTTCTCGACTCAGAGGGGCAGGTGTGTGGGCAAAAATGCTTGTGTGCTCATGCATATCCCAGGCTGGGTGAGAAAATTCCCTGGGGAGGGCAGCAGAAGCCTTACGTACAACTGGAGGGTGCTTTCTGTTTGCTCAAACAGGGTAGGCCAGTGCTGTGTGATATTAGTCCCCCGGTAGGGGTGCTGTAGGCCACTTATTTTGGGGAACCTCTGTTGTATGTATATGTACTTTGGATTCCTGTGAATTTACTCTGCTTTGCTCTGCAGACTGATGCCCAACAGGACTGCTAGTCGTTTTGTTTCATGTGTTTTGTTAAGAATCTGCTTTTGCTGTTCTCCAGGTGCCGACTTACTAAAGTTGACAAAGGAAGATTTAGTACAAATTTGTGGTGCAGCCGATGGAATTCGGCTCTATAATTCACTGAAGTCAAGGTAAAACATGGTGTTTAAAAGGAACTCTTTCACTTGGAAGAAGAGTGACTCTCTCTTCCGTGGGAAAATCGGGCAGAATGTGTGTCCACGCGAGGTGGGCGTGTGCCTGTGTGCGCGTTGCACAGTGGCAGACCGTGCTCACGAGAAGACTGTTTTGTGTACACCTTCAGGGCAGGACAATATGATGCAGGCACTGATGAGGGCAGAGGTAGACTGTAAGACTGGTAGAAAAATGCACATGGGCAGTACTGATATCTTGAAGACGACTGGGTTTGTTGCCAAGAAAACAAACTTCTCATTTCGGTGAGCAATACAGAATCTATGGTTCTCAAGATCATATGACTACTACTAAATAGTAAAAATGTAAACTTCTGATTGTTAATTAAAATGATAGCATCATAAACTATGCTCCTTTGTAAAGATCATATTCAGTCATTGCTCTTTTTGGATTTGTGATGTGAGAATTCCATTAAAATTGAAGCTTACTGATTTTAAATTGCTAACTTCATCTTGAAATTTAAGTTGACCAACATCTGGCAGATCGTGTCAGTAGTTTACACTCTGATCATCAATGAGTTCACCTCTGATAGTTGGTATGAGGTGTTTTTATATTCATCATTAAATAACTCTGTATGATGAAATAGCACTGTAAAGTTCTCATAAGGAAACAGTGTATATGTGTATCTGTCCACATGTGAGCCAGTTTTCTCGCCCAAGCTCATAAATTCATTTTCTGGTTGCAGGTCGGTCAGGCCCCGCCTGACCATCTACGTCTGCCAGGAACAGCCGGGTGGCACCCCACTGCACGCACAGCAGCAGGGTGCGGGCAGTGGGGGCGACAATGGCAGCGGGACGCCCTATGGTGGGTATCAAGGTCTCTCGGCTTCCTTTCTGACAGCAAGGCCAGGAGACGGGTTCTGGTCACCTTGGCAGTGTTCTTTTCTAATGTCAGGGTGCGACTGCTGAGTGGCAGGGGGAGGGTCACAGCCTCGGGAGACAGGACACCAATGCACGACCTGTGTCAGTACTCTCAGAACCGTGGCTCTTTGTGGCTCTGAATGCCAGGAGTTTTTGCTTTTTGAGCCTCAGATTTATTAAAATGATAAAGGTGTCACGTTGTTAACTTGGCAAGAAAGGAGGATTTTTTAATATTTCCTTTTACTGGCTGAGGTTAAGTACCTAAGATAAGATTTGTACAAAGATGCAGCTATGCGCCTGAGCCAGGTAGGTCTGCTTATCTCAACCTAATCCTACCAGCCTGGAGAGCTTTATGCTGGGCCTGCCTTGGGCTTCAGGCTTGAGAACTCCACTCTCTTCCTATTGAGAATGGGGGTATCTTCCCTTGTAGGAAAGAGAACAAGCAAGAGGGCCATAGCGGTCATACAGAGGGGAGGGCATTTGCCTTGTATGCGGCTGACCTGTGTTCCATCCCTGGCATCCCATATAATCTCCCATGCACTGCTAGGAGTGATTACTGAGTGCAGAGCCCAGAGTAACCCCTGAGCATCATCAGATATGCCCAAAAAAGGGAGGGGGAAAAGAGCACAGGCAAGGCTTCTTCCCTCCTTTCATTGTGGTCCTTCAAGCAAGTTTTATTTTTCCCCCAGAAGTAGTGGTTTTCAGCCATCAGTCTGCAAAAATGTTCCTGCCATTAATACAAGTCGCACCTGGGTAAAGTGTTCACTGACACTAGATTTTAAAATGAATTCATGAAATAGTACTATAACTTTTTAATTTTTGGCCTTTGTGATCCATGAAATATTTCCGTTTTCACTGGCTGACAGGTAGGGAAAAGGTTGAAAACCACTATCTTGAAGCCTCTTTTCTCGGGTGGGAGGTAGGTATATTACCTTTGGTCCCTCGATCTGTTAACAGGATGCTGGCAGCACTGTAGAGGCAGCATGCTGTGGAACTGAGGGAAGCCCTTTCAGTCTAAATGACGCTTTGTGATTTAAATTTTACTCTGAATTCCCAAGAAGAGCCTGGTTGTTGAGAGCTTTTCTTTGCTGGGATCATTTTAGTGTCAGACTTGAATTTTAAGACTAAAAATAGAGGGTTTTTTGTTTTTGTTTTTGCTTTTTGGGTCACACCCAGCGGTGCTCAGGGGTTAGTCCTGGCTCTGCACTCAGGAATTACTCCTGGCGGTGCTGGGGGACCATATGGGATGCTGGGAATCGAACCCAGGTTGGCCGCGTGCAAGGCAGACGTCCTACCTGCTGTGCTATCACTCCAGCCCCTAAAAATAGAGGATTTTAATCTTTGAAGCATAAAATGCTAAGATCTTTTGTACTCATTACATTACATTAGCCCTCTTATGATTAGGACTGTCACACACTAGATTGGTAGCCCAGGACAGGTAAGGGTCAGCAAATTTTTTCTCTAGAAGGCCAGGTTGTAAATATCACTGGCTATGTGGAATGGGGGCCTTTCTCCCACTCATCTCTGCTCTACTAGGGCCCAAACAGCCATGGACAACCTGGAGGTGATGGATGGACTGTTCTGATCAAATACACATGGTTGAGGAGGAGTCTGAGTTTGGCCCACACTGACTGTAGATTCGTCCCCATGCTCTAGGTTTTTAGCTGCTAGTCCACAGAACGTGGAAAAGTTGCTGCCACTTAGCACCACAGAGCCCTGGATCATGCCACAGAGACAGTAACTTTCATGAGAAAATTACCGTGAACCTCTGGGTAGAAACTTTTGCTCATCTCTCTGTGGTCTTAATCTCATAGTTCCAAAATCTAAAACTTTCACTAATGTACAGTTGCCCCATATCCACACCAAAGGAAAACTCTGATTTGGGGAAGCATAGTTCTAACTATTGATACTCCGATTGGTGTCTCACTTGAATCTGTAATTAAGCAGGATCTGTAAGACTCATTCACTGCAGATGTGCCAGGCACCATGCCGACAGTGTCTGCTTACTAAGTTACATTTGTTCCAGAAACACAGAACACTAGGTGGACAGCTGCTGGAACTCCGTAAAGAAGGAGGCTTCACTGACCACATCCTTAGGTTTCCATGTGGTATCTTTTGTATGTGTTTTTAATTCTTGAGGTGGTGGGTAGAGGGGAGAGACAGGCAGCTCTTTTTGTGCCTTTAGATTGTCAGTAGACTGCACAGTGATAGTATAGCAGGTAGGACATTGGCTTGCACAAGGCCAACCTGGGTTCAATCCCAATACTCCATATGGTCCCGAGTGCTACCAGAAGTGATCCATGAGCACAGAGCCAGGAATAAACCCTGAACACCAATTCAACTCTCGCCTCCCCACACCCCCCTCAAAAAAAAAAAGTAGTAACAGAATGATCACTCAGTTTACAAGGGAATACCAACTGGGCAAAGGCAATAGAGATAAAGAGCACAGCTGGTCTTCAGTAGGAAGACTGCCATTGGGGTGGGGCTGGAGGGGGATAAGTTAGGGAAGTAAACACTAGGACAGTAGTGAAGGGGAATATGCCTTCATAGAGATGGGTTGGGGGAAGGGGCTGTGGATGGGAAAGTGGGACACTGGTGGAGGGATTGGTGTTAGAACATTGTATGCCCGAAACTTTGTAACTAATTCACTGTGACCCAATTTTTTAAAAACAAGATTGTTAGTACTAGGATTACTGCTGAACTGGAAACGACCTTTTAGGGGCCCTTTTTATATATTTCTAGAAATAAAGTATTTTTGTTTTGGAGCCACATCTGTGCTTGGGGGACCACGCAGTGCCAGGGAATGAACCTGGGACTCACACATGCAAAGCACAAGCTCCAGTCATCTCCGCAGACGTATTTGTTCATTTAAAAAGCTTTCTTTGGGTATAATTGACGTAACAGAATTCTTCCATTTTAAGTATGCAATTCAAGGATATTTTAGTACCTCTTCAAAGTTGTACAGCATGACTGCAAGCTAGATTAATCTCATTAAGCAAAAAAATGGGATTAAAGCCTATTGGTTATCAGTACTTCTTGGTTTTAAGAAAAAAAATGAAAGCTTCAAGTCCTTTTGTACAGAGGTAACTGATAACATTGAGTTACATGTAAACATAAGTAATTCATTATTGTATTTCAGAGTGGAGTTGGAGATTCTAAGGTAGCAAGGGAAATTAGTTCCTTTTAAAATTTAAAAATGTTTTATTTTTTTAATAGTCTGATCTAAGAGGCAAACTTGGAAACAAAGATGACTGCTAACATGGTTTTTTGTTTTTGTTTTCCAGTTTATCATGCAATCTACTTGGAAGAAATGGTTGCCTCAGAAGTTGCTCGAAAACTTGCGTTGGTGTTTAATATTCCTTTCCACCAAATTCACCAGGTTTACAGACAGGGTCCTACTGGTATTCACATTCTTGTTAGTGATCAGGTAACTTGAACTGGCATATCTATTTGCTTCTGCCTTTTATAATGCTATTTGCTGTGTGTGTGTGTGTGTGTGTGTGTGTGTGTGTGTGTGTGTGTGTGTGTGTGTCTAGATGTATAAATTTCCATTTACCTGCTATTAGTTTGTAAAAACAGAAGTACCGTCTCCCAATCTTTAGAAACAGTCAAAGAGCATTCAGGCATCAAGTGGTCACTGATGCTGGTCTAGTACCAGTCCTGGAGCCTGGGACCAGGCCATTGGTCACTCACCAGAGTCCGGCAGGTAGTGCACCCCTGGGTGAAGCAGGCATGGTGCACACAAAGCTCTGTCATGTAGCTGATGGGAACTTTTATTATCATAACCTGCTGAGTTATCACTGACAGTTGAATTTATTTGTATACCAGTACATACATGAGATTATGACATGTTCCTTTAATAACTTTAATCTTTTTCAGTCAAGAAAGATCATTATACTTATATTCTGTTTTATCCTTCTAGATGGTTCAGAACTTTCAAGATGAGAGTTGTTTTTTATTCTACACAGTAAAAGGTACTTTTTGCATGTATGGTTTTAATGAACATTTCAAATAGTTTTAATGAGCAAATAAAGAAGTCAGTCCTCCTACCTGAGGGAAAGAATTTCCATTCAGTCCCAGTTGTCCTGAGCACCTTGTGTCACTAACCACACTTCTGGTGCTAGAAAGATCTTGAGCAAATAGACTCCATGGAATAGCTGATCGAGCGGGGAAGGTGAACTAGAAGTGGCCAATAGACGTACAGATGATAATGTAGGGCAATGGCGATTTGGGCCATGAGGTACTCAGACCATGTGGTGTGAGGGCCTCATACTTCCAGGTCCTTTGAACAGTCTCTTTGTCCCATATAAATATTTTGAGTGCTGGGGCTGAAGAGTAATCTCAGTGGGTTGAGATTTGCATGGAGGAGGTCTGGGTTTGAGTCCCGGCACTGCACAGCACCCCACTACTCCCACTGCCTTCTGCCCCTGCCAGGAGTGATCCCGTGCACCCTGACTAGGAATGGACACACACACACACACACACCTCTTGCCATGAAGGAGAAAGCAGGCATAGGTGAGGTCCTTGTGGATCAGGGAGCCCTGGATGGGGTCAGAGGCTGTGAGGCAGCACTTTTCTGAGACTTGTGAGAAGCAGGGGACTGTGTGAAGGAAGGGCTCCCAGAGTGGGGTACATGTGTAACTTCTTGTTTTCAGGCCACCCGAGTAGTTCTCAGGGCTTGCTCCTGGCTCTGTGCTCAGACATCACTCCTGGTGATGCCCAGAGGACCATATGGGGTTCAAGGGATAGTGCCTATGTCAGCAGCATGCAGGGCAATGGCCCTATCCACCCTGCCATCACTTTGGTTCCAAGAGTGGCTTCTGAGGAGGGCTGAAAGGTAGCAGAGCACAAGTCCCTATGCGGGTGGGCCTGGGCTGCACGCCATCTGTGAACAAGGCAGTTTGATTTTATTTGAAATGCTCAGGGATGTCAGTGAGTTGAAACAGAGGGAGTGATGTGATTCAGTGTTTCTTAGTCTTGCAGATTTGTAGAGACAGATGAGAAAGTGGGTAAACTAGAGGCAGGAGGCGTCAGGATGCTGCTGGTGTCTCCTTTGGGGAGGGGTACGCAGACCTAGAGGTGCTCGGGGCCACGTGGTGCCAGTGCGTGTAAGGCACTGGGCTCCACACTTGAGGGTGGACGGGAATAGACAGTGATCCCAGTAAAGTGGTAGGTGGTATTGGCAAAAAGCCATCAGGAACTTCATTTGAGGGGTGTAGAAATCCCATGGCCACCGATAGCCCATTTGGGGCTCACAGGAGACGCTTGGGCTTGCGATGAAAATGTGGAAGCCTTCAGCAATCCCCAGTGACTTCAAGTCCTAGGATTAGGGTGAGACTGGAAAAGGGGCCATGGGTGGCTCTGCTGAGTCCAGGGAAAGGCTTAAAGAAGGGATTTCACTACTGCAAAATTGTGTGAGGAAATGATACATTTCAGACTTTAAAATACCTAGTGAGTCAAGATCTAAATCCATTACAAGCCCAGAGTATTGGGGAGCAGGCTGTGACGTATCACCCTCTCAGAAAACCTGATGCTTGCTCAGCCTGACCTCACCGGGGCCTGGCACCCACTCACTTCCCCCCTCCACAGATGCCTTGGGGTTGGTTTTCAGGCCAGCACTTTTCTTTCTTCCATTTCACGCCCCGCCTCCTTCCCCTCCACCCCTACACTCAGGGATCACTCATTGCAGGAAGGACTTGGGGGGCTATATGTGGTGTTGGGGACAAACCCGGTAGGCTGCATGCGAGGCAAGCACCTTAACTATCCTGTACTATCATCTCTCCTGCCCCCAGCATTTTTTTTTAACTGCACTGTGATCCCTTATCTGAAACGGGGACTTCACACTGTCACAATGTGGCTGTATTTTGTGGGACAGCAGCACTGCCAGCTGTAGAAACCACAGGCCAGGCCCTGCACTCAGACTTCTGTCCTCAGGAGAAATTCATCTGGTCCGTGATGTATAGTTTCTCCACATCTCCTGAGAAACCCTATGCCAAAGTGCGATGCAATTTTTTAAATGTTTCAGATATTTCTCAGGGGGAGATAATGAATTATTTATGCATTATTTATTACCAGCTCAGTGTTTGGCCTGTTCCTGCTACTTATAGTGATAATCCCTTTGTGACCCTCACGCCCGTCTACTCACACCACACACATATCAGCATGAGTGCAGGGCAAGGGCACTGATAGAATGAGGGCTAAGCCATCTAAAAGCACAATGTAGGGGCTAGAGCAATAGCACAGAGGGTAGGGCATTTGCCTTGCATGCGGCTGACCCGGGTTCGATTCCCAGCATCCCATATGGTCCCCCGAGCACCACCAGGAGTAATTCCTGAGTGCAGAGGCAGGAATAACCTCTGTGCATCGCCGGGTATGACCCAAAAAGAAAAGAAAAGAAATAAATGAAAGCACAACGTATAAGAAGGGGTATGTGGATATAGTCACCTTAAGGAAGAGGGGATGGAGCCAGTTAACCAGTGATCACCTGCCCCCTAGAATTTAGGGTAAGTTCTAAACTGGAGGTGGGGGTGTAGATTTCTGGGGAGTTTTCTTCCAGAAATAGATTGCTTGACTGAAAAAACTATTTTCACTTTTTTTTGCAGCTGAAAATGGTGGTGGTATCCACATAATTTTGAAGTGACATCCTACATAGTCCGAACTATATTCAGTACCAAATAGCCACGCTTAAAAGTGTGTGAAGACTGAATCCAAGAAGTCTTTGGGATTGGATTTTATCGTATGAAATGTTTCATATTGAAAACACAAGATGACCTTTGTATTGAGCTGGTGAGAGGTGCCTCTGCTCCCTGCCACTGCCAGAGTCCAGCCTCCTGCGGGGTGAGCCGGCCACCAGGCCAGGAGACACAGATCCTCGGAGGAGCCTCTGCTGTCCTCATCCACTGTCTGCGGTTTGGAAGTGAATGTAGAGACGTTCTTGGGCATTTACCTTACTGTGCCAGTGTGGCTCTCACTGCCTGAACCTTCTGCTGGCCTGGGGCAGGGAGAGTGCCCTGAGCTGGGCTGGAGTCAGCACGGACCTGTCTGCGGAGAGAGGCCCCACACCTCCTCACCAGAGATCATGTCTGTGTGTGTGTGTCTGACGAGATCGTGCCCATCTGTCGGGAAAGATCCAAGCCGGGACGGCGGGCTTGAAGCAAACTGCATTATCAAGAGTACCTTGGTGAGAGGATCAGTGTAAATCCTAATAGGTACAAAGACTTGTTTTTTTCTTTGTTGTGGATTTATTGAAAAACTTTGCTTCTTCCATTTTAGCATTTGTTTCTGAGTCTCATCTTTGAAGCCTCATTGCCTTTTTTTCTGTTTTTCCTCCATTTCTGACCATCCTTTCTGTCCCACCCATCTTCCGACAGTGAAAATAGATGACCTAGCAGGGGAAAATAACTTCTGACTTGATGTTAAGGGATTTTCATGGAATTAAAATTATTCATGAAACACTAGATACTATAAAGCATACACTAAACTGTAGCATAAAAATTATTCACACTTCTCAAATTCTGAATGCTAGTACAGTCATGGGTGAGCATTCTGGTGATTATTTAGGGCTTTTTTTTATATACTACACAATAGCTTTTTCAATAGAGTGCCTCTCTCGCAGAACCAAATGCTTGTCTGTCATGTACTTTTAAAGGGAGTCTGTTTCTGCACCCACCTTCCCATCTTTATTACCTCCCTTTCCAAAGTCGCCAGCAAGCATTTCTGTGGTGTAGCACTCGGTTCTTTTAAAAGGCTTTCCATTTTACAGATTGCATACCTACCCAGGTGTTTTAGTTTTGAGTGTATTCCTTGGTCCTTCACATTGTTCGGATAGAAATGAGATAGAGTAATTTTGAGTTTGAAATCTCTTCCAGACTGCAAACTTCTTCCCAGTCCATGAAAGCTTTGAGTTTATGTTTTATTCATCAGGAGGGTTATTTGATACTAAGAAGCTCACTGCCTCTATTTTCATGTGGGGTGTGAAAGCAGCTACTGCTCCAGTGCTTGGGGGATGAGAGCTCGCCTGTCTGTCTCCCCTTGCTTTCCTAAGCCCACAGGTTCCTGTACCAGTATCTTTTGGGAAAGAAATGAACTTCTCTCTTTGTTTTAACAAGTTTTGGTTGTCTTGTCTATTTAGCATTCTTTTTTTTTTTTTGGTCTCATGATTTATGGAACAATAAATGTCATTTAATGCTGTGTGCTATTTTGAATTCCTCATCAGGGTATAGAAGTGGGGGTTAAGTCATTTAAAAGCTCATCAAACTTGACATGATACCAAGGCACTGAATGTTAGTCTGAAACAGGTTAAATCATGGCACCAGCAAATTTGCTACTTTGTTTAACAGTAGGATGTACACATTTCGGTATAATAAATGTTTTCTTTTTTGCAAATGTGTGTCTCATTTAAAATCTAAAATATACCTGGATTTATCAGAGAGAGGGGTTCTGAGTCCACATTGGTCCAAATGTAAGGTGAGTTCAGTATGCCTGGGCCACTCATCATTTTAAAATGGAAATTAATCCCCAGTCACTGAAGCACGTATGCTTTCTGTGTTCTTTTGTTTAAATACATTTCTGAATCATTTTACACATGCCTTTCCCTCATTGGCATAAGTGTGTATTTTAATAACTGCTGGGTCTAACAATTTAAGGCTCGTAAATACTGGGGTAATTCATTAAAGTTCTGATTACTTTATTGTCTTACTCTGACAATCCTGTTAAACTGGTTTCTGCTATTATATGTGTTGTCTAAAAAAGGCAAGGCATTATATCCTAAATGCTTCTAAAACTGGCCATCAAATAGAAATTTTACTGGTTGCTAGTTGTGGGAAAAATACTTTGTTTTTGCTGCTTCCTCTTCTCATGAGCTCTGGAATCTTCAGGTCGAGGAGACCTTTACCACAGAAGTTCACAGATGTGACAGTACAGAATAGGGAGCGTCAGATCAAGATGGCATTAAGGAAGGAAGGTGTGACTTTGGAAAATGGTTGTGCTCAGATTTGTCTGCATTACGAATATAGCAATAAAGCACTGCAATGGTTTATTCATTTTTACAAGTGTAAAACTTTTGAATAGTTCTGGTGTAACTTGATTTATAAGATTTTAAAATAAACTTGGGGAAAAAACTCACACCCATTCTACATGCATCCATTCATTATTTTTAATTGATTATATTACTATATGTAACTAGGCCTTCATTTCCCCCAAATTTTGCGGTATGACAGAATTTCTTTATCTCCTGTAACAACACATTGCTGGCGCTTTCTTCCAACTAGGACCCAGTTACTTTCTTGTGTATGTTTTGGCCCCAAAGGTGATAGCTGCTAGAACCAGTGCAGACCCTGCTCCACCCAGCTCAGTGTCCTCATTTCTTTGGTGTCTTATGAAACCTGTTAACTCACCTTTCACATGAGTGAGTTCTACATATGAAACTATCCGGCAATATCAATTTGCAGTATAGTTACTTCATAAATAAATTTGCTGTTTAGTCTTCAAAGTGGAAACATCCTGCTAATCAAAATGGAATCACTGTGAATTAAAGTTAAGTCGTTGGCTTAAGTATTAGGTAGAAAATAAACAGCTTTTTAGTTTTTCTGCTTAATTTGTGCTAACACTGATGGTCTGTTTGAAGAATGCTGATAGAGCCAAGGAGAGGACTGTTGTGTCTTAGGCAGGTACCCACCTCCTAGAGATCCAAGTTGCTTGATATGTGCTCTTGCCAGTGTGAACTGATACCAGGCTTTGATCTGATGCGTCACAGTAGAATAAAGGTGAGAACTGTCACCAGAGTTATTGCAGTCCTCACATAAGTGCTTTACCTGCAGATGCCTTCCTTTCCCAGTGGACTCAAGAGATTTGGGGGGCGGTGGAGCGAGTCAGACAGACTCCAGTCTTCTCTGAGCAATGGGACAAGTCCAGGTGCCATGGGCCCGGCAGTTGCTGTCAGAGAATGACACAGCACCTGCATAGTCGCTGTCCACTTCCTCCCACTGTTGTCGGTGGGGTGACAGGAGCAAAGTAGGCATGAACTTTGACATGAGGCAGCTGAGCCTGGGCAGAGAGAGAAAGCAGAGGAATCTTGAGTGATTTTTAGGGTCCTAGGCATGAAGGGAGAAAAGCCCTTACACATGTGATCCACTTTACTTTATTATTAAGCGGAAATGCTCTGCTGTGGGCTAGAGCCACAACTGCTGACCTACACCGCCCATAAAATGGCACCTGGTGACAAAAGCGATCCACTGGTTCTGTTATGCAAGCCAGATGTCTTGACAGCCTTACTGCCAAGACCGTGACAGTCCTTTGGGTTGTTTTGGCCACACCCAGCAGGGCAGTAATCAGGGCTTACTCCTGGCTCTGTGCTCAGAGATCACTCGGGCAATGCTCAGGGTACCATATATAGGGTGCCAGGGAGCAAACCTGAATTGGCCGCTTGCAAAGCAAGCACACTACCCATTGTGCAAGCCCTATCCCCTGTATTACTGCTGCAGCAGTAGATGTGGCTACTGGAGTGTAAATGCAAAGTGGCCTAGACTTACAAGTCAAGAAAACAATGTTGGTGCAGTAAAAAGGCTTAGTTAATTCACTCTTACTGGAACATGAACCAAGACCCCTTAAAAGCGAAGGTTGGAATAAAAGTACAGAGCACCAGGGTCCCTACTGACTCGGATGGAACAACCGGACACTGATGTTGGTCCCTGCCACAGACCTGCTGGGGCTGAGCATCCTGCCTCACCTACCCGCATGCGCTTGATGCCGGCCCGCGTGACCTGCTGGCAGTCGTACAGCTCCAGGCGCTCCAGACCCCGGCAGTTCTCCAGGTGCTCCAGCGCCACGTCGGTGATGAGCAGGCAGTTGTCCAGCTCCAGGACACGCAGCCGCTCGTGGCCGCAGGTGCTGTTGCTCAGGTGCAGGATGCCGTCGTCGGTGATGAGCTCACAGTGGGACAGACTCTGAGGGGGAGAAGAGTGGGTGTGGCGGGTGGGCATCACTGCTGGGTAAACACAAGCCCAGGCCACTGCAGTTGGGCATCGGCGCATCTACCTCCCTCCCTTGCTCAATGCAGGAGTAATCAGAACTAAGTGAAATTTCAATTAATAGCACAATGGAGACGTTACTGGTGTCCGCTTGAGCAAATTGAACAACACAGTGCTGCAGCACTGAGCGCGCTTTTAGAGCCCAACTTTCCATTAGAGCGGGGAGCCCAGGGATGAGTCTGATGTCCTTGTTCATTTAGAAAATGGTGCAAACAAATGTGATGATTAAAAAGATTTTAAGCTTGCTCTTCAAGCCTGTGTTCTCCCTTGAACATGTATTTTGTTTGCTTGTATCTTTGCTTGCATTTTCCACTCTGGAGGAGCCCATGTTCTTTTTTGGTTTTTTGTTTTGTTTGGGGGCCACATCCGGCGTGCTCAGGGTTAACACCTGGCTCTGCATTCGGGAATTACTCCTGGCAGTGCTCGGGGACTACGTGGGATGCTGAGATCCAATCTGGGTTGGCTGGAGGAACCCCTGTTCTATCCTAAACACGTATTTCCTCTGTTTTCTCTCACATTTAAGTATCAATAGAAACTATCTTGCTTCAAAAAAAATTTTTTTTTAATCTTAAATCTTGCAGTCTAACATTTGGGGGATAAACAGGGCTGCAGAACATAAATTCAGATTTTACTGTTGTAGGGGCAGTAAAAAACTTCATTTTTGCAACTGAAGTTCTCCACAGCAGTTCTGTAACACCTGACCCATTTCTCCTGATGTATGTAAGGTAAATTCATCACATTATCCAAGTTCAGAGTTGAAAAAGGACTGCATCGAAGATCCAATTACTGGTCTGTTCCTTTAAACAAGTTGCAGCTGTGTCAGATCCTATGTTGTAATGAGTAAATTCTTTCTAATAATACTGGCAGAGCTGAGACTATAATAATGAAATAGTAAAACTGAACCCATGTTCTATCTTGAACATGTATTTCCTCTCTTTCCCCTGACATTTAAATTTGAATAAAAACTGTCTTGCTTCAAAAAAAAAATTCATAAAAAAAATCTTAAATCCTGTGGTCTAACATCACTGGTCAGTGATTTTTTTCCTGACCATGCTCCCCCGACCTCATTTCCTCCCTGTGGTCCCCTTAGGATAACCTGGACACCCACAGGGAGCCATACCACCCCAGCTGAGAACTGCTCTAAGTGATAACTTTTATGATTGGGAGCCTAGAAGAGGACTAGAAGGAGCACACAGGACTTGAAGGGGCAGGAGGAAAACAGCAGAGACTCAGAATGAGAGAACAGAGGTGTGAAACAGGTCAATCAAGAAGCAGTTGGGAGGATAGGGACCATACAACAGAGCTGTATAGATTACAGAAAGGAAATTGACTTTGATTTTAAAGTCACTTAGGAACATTTTTGAGAAGTATAATACCTTAAACTTACTTTTCTAAAGATCATCAGGGAGAATCTAGATCTTCCTCATGGAAATGCATACCGGCATTAACCAAAAGACAGTAATACTATAATATAAGTAAAGTAAAGTAAAGGCCCTCCCGTTGATCGTCGATTTGCTCGAGCGGGCCCAGTAACGTCTCCATTGGAGACTTTGTTGTTACTGTGTCTGGCATATCGAATACTCTCGGTAGCTTGCCGGGCTCTCCGAGAGGGGCGGAGGAATCGAACTCAGGTCGGCCATGTTGGCCGCTTGTAAGGCGAACGCCCTACCCGCTGTGCTATACTATAATATATAAGGCCCAAATTGGAAACCACCCAAATATTCAACAGTAGGAAAAACAAGTCACAACTGTACCGATCTTTCCAGCCATGAGAATAATGGATGCTCAAGTACATGGCAGAGTAGAGATGAGTTTCGCAAAAGTTGACAACAGACAAACCTCTGTTCTCAACCGGCAGAGACAACTGTATAAAGGACTCCATTCTAACCTTCCATAAATAGAAAAAGATTTTTTTTTAAATGCTACTGGAAGCCCCCCAACCCCTCACCCCTCGCCAAGGGGGAAGATGGGGCACTTCTCCCTCTGGAGTGCCCTGCTCACAGACATGCAGGAGGCACTTGTGTAAAAGGCACATTTTGCCACCCACATCTGGAGTCCCCATGTGCCTACAGCTGAGCAAAGCGGGAGCCTAGTGTGGCCACTGGGGAAGGCGACACCTGCTCCTTGGGGTGTCTGACTGCTGGCGGGAGCGGGAAGGTCTGCACAATGAAAACCATCCAAGGCTGACGCATGAAATAGCTGGATGCACACGGGGAAGGAGGAAAATGCTAAATCCTGACCTTGACTGATTCCTCTTTGAGCTGTTTTATCAACAGAATGACTCCTTATGCAATAATGGTATTTCTGTTGTGATAAACTGCTGTTCACTGAATTTCAGCTTTAGAATTGACAGATTGATGAAGCTAGGCCTCTTTCCAGGAGGACGATGTTATTTTTATTTGGGGGCCACCACCCTCCGTGGTGCTCAGGGCTTACTCTTGGCTCTGTGCTCAGGGATAATTTCTGACAGGGCTCAGAGGACCATATAGGAGGCTGAATAGCCAAAGCAGTCCTGAGAAAGCACAAAGTTAGAGGCATAATGCACCTTGGTTTCAAACTGTATTACAAAGTTTGAATTACAAAACAATATGCTACTTGGCATAAAACCACACACCTTTATCAACAGAACAGAACAGAGATCCCAGAATTAAACCCAAGTAAATACGGTCAATTTATAGCAAAATAACCAAGAACACACAATGGGGGAAGGGCATTCTCTTCTATAAGTGGTGCAAAGAAAACTGAGAATAAAACTGGATCACTGTCTTACACCACACACAAAAAAACCCAAAGAGGAACAAGGACTTGAATGTCGCCCCTGAAACTTACCACTTAAAATACAAGGCTGTGAGTTCTTTGATATTGGTCTCGGTTTTGTATTTTTGGATTTGACACCAAATGCAAAATTAGGTGGGACTACATCAATATAAAAGGACATAGACAAAATGGAGACGCAATATGCTGAATGAGAGAAAACATTTGCAAATCATATCTGATAAGGGGTTAACATCCAAAAAATATAAGGAACTCACAAAACTCAGTAGTAAAAAGGAAAAGAAACAAGAGGCTGGAAAGATAGTGCAGGGGTTAAGGCCACCCCCACATATTCTCACGCACCAGCAGGGTGATTCCCTGAGCACAGAACCAGGAGTAAGCCCTAAGGACTGATACTTGTGGCCCCCAAACAAAAAGGTAGAGAATTTGGATATATTTCCACCAAAGACATATATGCTTCGTCAACTGTACATACTACATAAAAGATACCCAGCTTCCCCCACACCACGTGTTCAAGAGACCCTCTTTCCCCAGCTCCGGCTTTAAGAGTGAGATTCAAATGGAATTGTTTCTTCACTAAGTGAAGAAGGTAAGTCTCGAGGGTTGAGGAAATGACCTGATAACTGAAGATAGACTTCAGGCTGGCAGGGAGCTGCTGTCCAAAGCAAACAGACAGCCCACAGCTGGCCAGTCAGCAGGGCCCCCTAGGGGTGCTCCTGTCACTACTGGGTGATTGGGAAAGGGTAAGTCAGCATGAAGGAAACCTGGCAAGGATGGCGTTGGATGTCTTTCCTGTGGGGGCTATTTTCATTCTTCTTTAACATAAAAGACTGTTAAAACTGTGTTTGGATACTTTCCAGTACAGAGTAGTGCATAAAATCTCTCAGTTCCCAATGCAGACTAGCCCTCAGATTGGAGCCCCTCTCCATAATAGAATTTGCTGATGACATCTTTCACAAGCCAAGAACCCAAGTAACAAAGGGGATCACAGCTTTCTTGGAATGCACCAGGAGTCTGCAGGTCCTTCCAGGCCCCCTCCCTCTGGAACCCTTTGAATCTGAACCCCTTGTCCCTGCAAACGGAGATCATCTGTAAACATATTTTCAGTACCCTCAAACAGATCTCCTCCTCAGACTGCCTTCTGCCGTGCATGTATGAGACCAGGCTCAGCTGCCCCAGGATCACAAGAGCACTCTAGAAGGGGTGCGGGACTCACCAGGGCCATGCACGTCTCTCAAGGACAGTCTGAACAAGGGAAGTGTTAGCCACTGGCATGTCACAGCCACTGGCCAGTTCATGCTGGGGGTCTCGTCCCTCAATCACGGATCTTTAGTAAGAGATAAGCTGCACTGTTAGGAAGAATGAAATCATGAAATTTGCTTATAGATGGATTAACATGGAGAGTTGAGTGGAATGAATCAGAAGGAGAGGGAAGGTATAGAATGTCTGCATTCACTTGTGGGATATAAATATATAGTATGAAATATAGCTAAGGGGGGAGTAAACAGGGGCCAGGAGGACAGGTCAACAGTTGGAAGCTTGCTCCAAGAGTGTGTGTGTCGGGGGAGGGGTGTGTGTGAAAGGCACAGGTAAAGGGATATACCTGATAACCTTTCTTATCTGTATTGCAAAACATAAGGTCCAAAAAGAGAGAGAGACAGAAAGAAAGAGAAGGAAAGTGCCTACCATATTAGTGGGGAGGGGGGCAGGGAAAATGGGACCATTGGTTGTGGGAAAAGTAAGCTGGTGAAGGGACAGGTGTTGCAACATTATACATAACTGAAACCCAATGAAATCCAATCATGAACAACTTTGTAACTGTGTACATCATTGTGATTCAATTAAAAAGTAAATGGGGGGGGGAAGTAAATTTTTTAAACAAATAAGCAAAAAAGAGAGATAGCTGGAGAGATAGCACAGCGGTAGGGCGTTCGCCTTACAAGCGGCCAACAAGGCCGACCCAGGTTCGATTCCTCCGCCCCTCTCGGAGAGCCCGGCAAGCTACCGAGAGTATTCGATATGCCAGACACAGTAACAACCAAGTCTCCAATGGAGACGTTACTGGGCCCGCTCGAGCAAATCGACGATCAACGGGAGGGCCTTTACTTTTACTTTAACATGCATTTCAAAACTGCCTCAGGGCTGGAGCAATAGCACAGCTGGTAGGGCATTTCCCTTGCACGCAGCCAACCCGGGTTCGATTCCCAGCATCCCATATGGTCCTCTGAGCACTGCCAGGAGTAATTCCTGAGTGCAGAGCCAGGAATAACCCCTATGCATTCACAGGTGTGACTCAAAAAGCCAAAAATAAACAATCACCTCTGTGCCTCAGGGCACTGCCCTGAAGGCTATGGCCTCCTGTGCTCTGGAGGGCAGGGGCACCTCCCCTGTAGTGACTTCCTTAGGTGGCACTGGGTGGCTCCAAGGCCAACCCTAATCACCCAGAGCTGCCCTTATGTGACTAAAGACTGCCTCTGCACTGTACTGTGGGATCCCAACAAACACCTTGCGGCTCCCTGAGCCTCAGTACCCCTGGAGAGCATGTGCTCCCACTGGGGGCTTCCTGTCAGGTATGTCCATCTCTAAGGGACCATCCCCCTCCTTCTCCAGGTCCCCGGGACACTGCTGATGTTTGTAGAGTTGAGTGAGAGGGTGAGAAATGGCTGTACACACCGTAGCCCAGTTTTCTGTCCAGAACATAAGGAATGTCCAAAGCCAAGTTTTCATTTCAACTGCAGTTGCTTCCCTGCTTTTCTGCTACCTTGGTATGCAGGGAAGAAGGGCTGTTGCCTTGAACCTCTGGTCTTATAACAGCTTATGAAACACTTTGAGAGTAGCTGGTGTTATCATAAAGGACAAGATGGATAATATAATATAATTTTCATAACATAATTTTCAACTGCTATGAATCCCTACTTCGCCGAAATAATTCCTGACACGTCTCTGGGGGTGCACTCTACATTGGGGTGTGTGCAGGAGAAAGGGCAAGGGTTAGGGCACCCACAAAGACCTGGTGGGCTGAGCGGAGCCTCCCTTGGAGATGTCGCAGGGGAGCTCTGCTTTCAGGGACACGGGGATGAAACTCCCGTGAGAACACATCTAGCTCACAGATACGATGGGGTTCAGTCAAGACTAACTTGAAAGCAAGAGAAATCAGAATTACAAAGTGAGGGGCAGTGGGTAGGAAAGGGAACAATTCAGAGTGGATATGGCAAGGTATCATTGACCCTGAATCCTGCCAGGTCCCAGATCTATCCAAGGCCCCACGTACCTGTGCTGGTGTGGAAAAGTTTCCAGGGAGTATGTGGAAATAAGAAAGATCAGTGAAAAGAACAATTCCAGGTCAAAGGAAACTATAAAATTCTAGTCCCAGAGACCAGAGCAAGCTCCAAAGTGGAAAGATCTGCTGCGAAGAGTTCAGGGCGGATCTCCTTAGGAAGCTGATCGAGCTGGGGTGTGAGAGCAGCAGTGTACTCTGGGTCTGCTCCTCACCTACTGAGCCTGTTTTTGCTCACAGAACAGGCTGTGACAGAGCGTGCAGGTGTAGGGAGCAATTCCTCTGCTGGCTCAGTGGACCCGGGCAGAGAGCCAAAGGTGAGATGGCCAGGAGATGGCCGGTGGAGAAAGCATCAGTGACCCTCCTCGGAGCCTCTGATGGGCTCTAACTCCTTTCACCTCTCTAGACAACGTACAGAGCAGATCCAGTGTGTGAATAGGGCCGCGGTCTTCTATTTTAGCATTTTAACCTGCTAACGTGACAGGACAACCATGAATCAGAGAAGGAAGAAGACCTGGGTCCTTACCATCAGGTTCACACCCTCTAATGCAAGCAGGAACATTTTTATATCCCGCCTACCACAAGTCAGTCCATCCAAAGGCTAAGAAACCAACAATGGTGGTGATGAGGAAGGGAGGGAGGGAGGAGACGGAGAGAGGGAGGACAGGTGAGAGGGAGGGAGAGATTGAGGAAGGAGGAGAGGGAAGGAGGAAGGAAAACTGAACAAACAGTTCCTGCAGAGGGAAGAGGCTCAGCACAGGCAAACAGCCTCGGCCCATGTGGACTCACCAGGGCTTGCAGCCTGGGGCAGTGGATGGAGAGCTGGATGAGTGTGCTGTCTGTGATCTGCGGAGAGACACGCTGTGTTAGTTCGATTCCTACCAGAACTCAGCTCCTAATCCTGCTTCTCTGGAACAGGAATGTGCGAAAAAGAAGGGAAAACCCAGCCACAGCACTCAGACTAGAAGCTCCAACAAGCCTCCTCTCTGCCTTCCTGGAGCCGCAGAAAAGCACTCTTTTGCTCTCAACGCTAGTGTCCCAGGGTGTGAGGACGGTAACTGAGCAAGGGTGGTCACCCAAGAATCTCCTCGGCAGTGACCTGGTGACTGAACAGGCAAGCCTACTGCCCCCCCAGTTCTGGGGAAATAAGAGAACTTACTGTTACATCCCCATGGTCTCCGCCCTCCCCTCAGCAGAGGGCTAAAGATGGCCAGGCCAATGCCCTCACTGGCCCTGAAGCCCTGGCTGCCCTGCAGGCAGGGGAGCACTCTCCCTCTCCATGAAGGGGAAGCACTCACTAGGATGCATTCTTCCAGATCCATCTTCTCCAGGTCGTGGCAGTTCTGAAAGAGTACACAGGGCATCCTTTCACCAGGCAGCTGCGGACGGCCTGTCCCTGAGAACCGGCCCCCAGTCCTTGTCCTCTTCCATGGAGGCCAGGCTCTGTTCCTAAGGTGACCAGTGCATGGAGTGGGCACCCTGGAGCTGCATGCTCTTTGGGACTGGGCAGAGGAATGGTTCCTTCTAGGCTGCGGGCCCTTCACTCGCCCCGGAAAGGGAGTGCCTAGATCTGCCAGGATTCCCACGGGCAGCAACATGGCGATTCAGCCATCAGGGGCTGAGCCACCCAGGACAGCCGTTGGGACAGGATGGCCAGGAGGACATAGTTCTCCTCGGCAGGATGGGGCGCCCCACGGGGTCAGCACTACAGAGCCACAGGAAGAGGAGCAGAGAGCTGCAGGTGCAGCCCTGGGCAGAGAAGGTGCTGAGAGGCAGAGCTGGGTGACCAAGTGATTTCTGTCACTGTGCCCCACCCCCGATGCAGAGCCAGTGCTGCGTCCTTGCTCCACCAAGGAAATGAGAAGTGGCCCAAGGGGTCGGCTGTACAGCCCCTCCTTAGGGGGTAAAGGAAGGTAAGTGTGGTTTCCTTCGGAGACTTTGGCCTTACCCGAGCTAGCAGCGTAAAGCCCGAGTCCGTCAGGTGGGAGCAGCGCGCAGCCTCCAGGATCCTGGAGGAGGGCAGGGAGAGCGAGCCTGAACAGCGGAAGGCAGCTCGCCCCCACCGACACGTGCTTCCAGGAATGTTCTCTCGTTCTCTCTCTCTTCCCCTCCTTCCTCCCCGGCCACCGCCACCTCCTACAAGATGCTTCCACATCCCACCCAAACTCGGACAGTGAACCCAGGAATCTTCACACTGAAGATTCACACTGTTGTTTTTCATCTTGAACCATTTGTTTTAGGCCTCCCAAGTGGTGGTCAGCGGTCACTTCTGACAATTCTCGGCCCAACCAGTAAGAAGGGGGCCAGCGCCCTGGTGCAGGCTGTGAACCCTGCCATGCCTTGCAATGCCCCTGAGTTGTGGATATCCAACAGGGGCCCACCACACGCACTCTCTCTCCAGCCCTGCTTTTGTTTTCAAAAAAAATTTTTGGTAGGAGGCACACAGCTGTGCTTAAGGCTTACTCCTGGATCTACGCTGAAGGAATCACTCGTGGCAGGCTCGGGGGACCACGTGGAATGTCGGGGATCAAACCTGAGTCGGCTGTATGCAAGGCAAATGTCCTACCTGTCATATACTATCTCTCTAGCCCCTCAAACATCCTTTTTTTTTTTTTTTTGCTTTTTGGGTCACACCCAGCAATGCTCAGGGGTTCCTCCTGTCTCCGCACTCAGGAATTACTCCTGGTGGTGCTCGGGGGACCATATGGGATGATGGGAATCGAACTCTGGTCAGCTGCATACAAGGCAAATGCCCTATCCACTGTGCCATCACTCCAGCCCCTCTCAAACATTCTTATGTACATTCTTATGTACTGGAATTACTGAAATTTTCAGTTACACTCAAGGAAAAAAAAATTTTTTTTTTTTTTTTTTTGCTTTTTGGGTCACCTGGGGATGCACAGGGGTTACTCCTGGCTTTGAACTCAGGAATTACTCCTGGCGGTGCTCAGGGGATCATATGGGATGTTGGAAATTGAACCTGGGTTGGCCGTGTGCAAAGCAAACACCTTACCTGCTGTACTATCACTCCAGCCCCTCAAAGAAACCTTTAAAGATGTACAGCAGCTGGGGCCAGAGAGACGGCTCCATGAGACAACCCCTGGGTTTTTCTTATATTTAGGAGACTTGGGTTTGACCTTTGGCATGCTCAAAGATCTGAGCACTGAACCAGGAGTGTCCCCGAGCACCAAACCGAAAGTAGCCCCAGAGTGCCAGTGGGTGTGACCGTGAAAACAAAAGATGAATTAATTCTCAATATTCATGCCAGACAAGGATGAATTCCTATGTAAGACTTTTAAGTTAAATATTCCCTAGCTGCAACGATTATGCCTCCCTCTCTGAGCAGTCTGTATCACCCAGATTCCTTTTACTATGCAGAAATATCCAAATTATCTAGAAACTTTAAATAAGAAGTTTTTAAAAATGAGCATGAAGCAGAAATAGGTAATGCTTAAGAGCTATATAACTGTCAAAAGTAGATCGGTTTCACTGAGAAGTCAACCCAAACAAAATTAGTTACATTTCCACTGCTCTTTGCAACAGAGGGAAGCTTGCTGTTCTGAAGTCACACTCTACCAGCTCAATTCTAGCTTTATTCTAGCTTTACTTCATCATGTGACTTGGGAAAATTTATGTGATTTTCTTTGGGTCTCAATCTCTCTACTACAAAACCAGGGAGAATAAGAGTATCCACCTCTGGCACCAGAGTGATAGCACAGCGGTTAGGGCACTTGCCTCGCATGCGGCTGACCCGGGTTCCATCCCTGACATCCCATATGGTCCCCTGAGCACTGCCAGGAGTAATTCCTGAGTGCAAAGCGAGGAGTAACCCCTGAGCATTGCTGGGTGTGACCTAAAAAGGAAAAAAAAATTCCAGAATTTCCAGAAAGAGTATCTACCTCCTAGAAATGTGGTGAGGATGAAAGAAGATAATGCTTATAAAAGGGTCCAGGGCTGAGCGATAGCACAGCGGGTAGGGCATTTGCCTTGCATGCGGCCGACCTGGGTTTGATTCCCAGTGTCCCATGTAGTCCCCTGAGTACCGCCAAGAGTAATTCCTGAGTACGAGCCAGGAGTAACCCCTGTGCATTGCCGCGTATGACCCAAAAAGAAATAAAAAAAACAAAACAAACAATAGGCTCTGGAACTTAGATGAGGTCAACTGATATTAACTATGATTAGTATTGAAACTCTACTATTATCACAGTTTCCATATTCCCATGATTACCTTGGAAACCAGAAAAAAAAATTTGTGAAAACAGATCTTTTCTCCCTGGAAAAAAATGAGAGAGGCCAGCAAGACTGAAACGGGAGTGGCTGAAACATATCACCTATTGTCGTGTGTGAACTTCCTGTTCTGTGCTTTCAGCAGCTGGGTTAGTGGAGAACCTGCTCATATCCGGATGAAAGATAACTATTCTGCTTGTCATCAGATCAAATGCCAAAGTGGCAGGAAGATGTGGTGAGTCTGATAGGTCAGTGTGCAGAATCCATTAAGGAGTGGGGCTGGAGTGATAGCACAGCGGGTAAGGTGTTTGCCTTGCACATGGCCGACCTGGGTTCAATTCCCGGCATCCATGTGGTCCCCTGAGCACTGCCAGGGGTAATTCCTGAGTAAAGAGCCAGGAGTAACCCCTGTGCTTCGCTGGGTGTGACCCCCTCCCCCCCAAAAAAAAAGAATCCATCAAGGAGTCAAGGGTCGGTTTCCCTGGGGGAAGACAGGTCAGTCCCCCCTGGAGCAACCCTAAATGGGCTGCAGCCCATCTTGTCCCATCCCAATCAGTCTGACAGAGCTGACAACAAACCCCCACCTTCACTACCACTTATTCTACCTGCTGGCCGCCTTTCCCCTCCTGCTGAGGCCTTCCTGGTCATCCCAGCCAAGTGCTCTCTGAGCTGCAAAGCAAAAAGCATGCTGCACTCACTGAAGTCTCGGGCAGTTCAGAGCCAGGGCTGTGAGTGAGGCATCCGTGAGGTTGCTGCAGCCGGAAACGCAGAGGGCCTGCAGCTGGTGGCAGCCCCTGCATATCTGCACCACGCCTTCATCCGTGACACGCTGGGAGAGCCAAAGGGAGGGAAAATCAGAGAGGCCAGCAAGACTGAAACAGGAGCGGCAGAAAAATATCACCTATTGTTGGTTGAGAAACTTTGGTTGTGAGTTGACGATATTGTGCTAATAATTTACAGGTATCTTTAGAGGGAGCCCACCCCTACCCTGCAGTGACTGAGACCTGGGACAGCTCCTGGTCCTGGTGACATGTGGCCGGGCAGTGTGGGCCTGATGGCTAGGTTCTCTGGCTTGGAGAAGCTGGACTTGGGACATGGGTCAGGGAATAAACTCAGGCCGCAAGCATGCAAGGCATGTGCTCCAGTCCTTTGAACTATCTCCCTGAACCCTGTCTCCTAATAACCAGCAGCATAAATATTTAATCAAAGGTTAAGTACACTGAGTATATGTATGTGAGAGTCAAACTGCTTTAGAATATTCTGGTATTATCAATGCAGAGAGAAATTTTAAAATTACATTTTTCTCTCCAGAATCATTAATATGTTATAAGCTTGTATTAAAAGCTAGATTAAATAAAGAATTTGCCTAGCATGGAGAAGTTAATTTTGGTTGAATTTATACGATTAATGATTTAGATCTCTACCAAATTAACAATTTACATGTATAATTAAAATAGATCCTAAAATATTTAGAAAGAGTAAAATTAAATCACTAAATCATTGACAAATGACTTAGAATCCTATTAATTTAACAATGAGATTAAAAATAAAATGTTCCTGTAAATGTAATCATTGATGTAGAAATAAGCGCGCACAGCCATATATATTACTCTTTTAGTCATCTGCTGGCCCTCTCCCGCATGCAAACCACAATCTACTACAAAAACAGTCCTGTTTTTGACTTCTGCAGGTTTCTGTGGGCATTACTGGTCTAGAATAGTGTCTTATCTCCCCCATCAGGGACTCTAACGATTCTGATTCATTCACCAAATGCCAAAAGCAAGAGAGTTCTCTTACATTTCTCAAACTTGTTTTCTTTGAGAAGCCCAGGACAATGTAGCCATCCTCCTCAATTACCAATATTTGCCAGGGCAGTGAAGATACAACTCTGGCTCTGTAGTCTAATCTCTGATGGAAATCACATCTTCCTCTTGCCTATGCTCTTTAGTTGCCAAATTGCATTTCATTTTATCCTCTGAGACAATATGAGATGTTGTGTCATCATCCCTGGCTTATAGGTAAAATTTGAAAAAATGACATTGAGGGGGGCAGAGATGTGGGTCTAGTCCTGGATTTGATCTTTAACTTCACATGACTCACGCCACTAGGTATTACTGGACATGGCCCTAGTGGCTCAGACAGAGCTTCCAGCAAAAACAGAGAAAAACAGCAGCAAAAAACATGGAAACCTTCCTTGTCATGTATGTCTCAGGTCTGTAACTATTTCAGTCCTGATATCTTAAAGAATAGTAAGACCCTAGTCTGTCACTTTTTTTTTTTCAGGGAAATGCCCACATTTCCTGTACCCAAGTGTGGTGCCTTTACACCGAGCTGTGTGATTTTCCCTCTAGCACAGAAGGGCACGATCAGACACGAGGCCATGCTCCCCACGCCATGGGGGAGAGCCAGGAGGCAGACACACGACTCACAGAGCAGGACTGGAGGTTGAGGCTCACGAGCTCGTGGCAGTAGTTCTGAATATACTTCAGAGCTTCGTCTTCTAACTGAGGACAAGAGAAAACAAAAGAGAGAGGGCAGCATCTAGGTGAGGGGCTCCCTGCAGACGTGATGTGCCCACACCCAGCATATGCAAGCAGATAGGTACCTGCGTGCAGCCCCGCAGGAGAAGGGCCTTGAGGCCTCGACAGCCTCGCACGAGCGCCTCGATGCCGTCCTTGGTGATCTGATCGCACCACGAGAGGTTGAGGTACTCCAAATTCCGGCAGCCTTCACTGAGAGAACAGGAAATGAGCCTGCCCAGGGTGCTGTCTGCAACACCGAGGCACTTCCCAACTCTGAGCTGGGTAAGTCCCTCACAGTGCAGGAAGACAGAACCTGTGGGACGTCCCCACACTGCCCTTCCCAGCGCCAGCAGGATCCACAGAAAGGTTCTAGACACAGCAGCACGCTCACTGCTCTGGGTGCTTCTCTTACCTGATCCCCTTCAAGGAGCTGTTTGTGATGGAGACACAGGAGGTCAGGTCCAGATGCTTCAGCTTGGAACAGAATCTGCTAAGGCTATAACACGTGCTAAAAAAGAGCAGAGGCACTAAAGGTATTTTCAACCATGTTTCTCTCCTGTCACTTTACCCATGGCCAATACGGAGCCAAACTAAATTTAATGGCTTACCTGTCGGTGATTTTTGTGCACCCATTGAGATTCAAGTGTTCGATGTTCCGACAGTTCTGCGCGAAGGTCCTAAGAGAAAACATTTGTAAAGCACATGCAAATGAATGGACAGCCACTAGAGGGCACCGGCAAGCACTAGCATTTGGAACAATGATTCACAACGAGGAAAGAAATTGTTAGTGTGCAAAGAAAACTTCAGGGATCTGCTCTCAAAAAAAATTTTTTTAAGCATAAAATGTATGAATTGACTGTGAGTGCTGAATCTGCTTAAACTTTTATGTACCCATAATGTACACGTGAGTGGGCTCTTGTGTCAGAGCAGTCTTAACTCTCCTTTATTCAAGCTTCACCAGCATCTGAGAATAGAGGACTGAATTCCTGCCTCCCAACTTGCTAAGAGTTTGAGAGGCATTGGGATTGGCTCCATGGATAAGTGTCTGCCCTGCAAGTTCAATTCCTGGTGCCACCCACCTACCCCAGTGCTACCCCAGCAACTGCTTTTAGGAGCTCCAGCACCACAACAGAACCGGGCATGTGTGAGTACTGCGACTACAATGTGAGATCCCCATGATTTTTCCAGCTATAAAAGGGTGCACAGGTACTGAAACCAGGACTGCAAGCTCTGGCAAACACATATGTGAGTGGCACAGTAAATCCTGAGCGTTGCTACAAGGAAGGAGGGAAGGGAGGGAGGGAGGAAGGGAGGGGAGGGAAGGAGGGAGGGAGGGAGGGAGGGAGGGAGGGAGAAAGGAAGGAAGGGAGAAAGGAAGGAAGGAAGGAAGGAAGGAAGGAAGGAAGGAAGGAAGGAAGGAAGGGAGGGAGGGAGGGAGGGAAGGGAGAAAGGAAGGAAGGAAGAAAGGAAGGAGTAGAAAGGAAGAAGAAAAGAAAGAAAGAAAAAAGAAAGAAAGAAAGAAAGAAAGAGAGAAAGGAGAAAGAAAAAAAGAGAGAGAAAGAAAGATGGAAGGAAGGAAGGAAAGAAAGAAAGAAAGAAAGAAAGAAAGAAAGAAAGAAAGAAAGAAAGAACAATGACCCTTAGTGAGCAGAATAACTAAAGCCACAGTGACTACTGTAGCCAAGTACATCTGCCCAACTCAACCCTCTCAAGTCATAGCAACAACAAAAGGAAGGGGGATAAAAATGTGAACGGAACCAAATCTTTTTTATGACATGCCAAGTTGCCACTGGATCACTCTCCAGTCTTCCTGGAGAACACACTCTAATTATTGGTGTAGCTCAGTACACCAATTCTGGATACTTACCAGTATCCAGAATCAATCATTTACTGGTGAGCACATGCGTGAGCTGAGTCAAACGACTCCCTGGGTCTGCAGGTAGGTGAGAAGGTCAGAAACAGGGTAGCAAACACTCCCTACTTGCCATTTAACTGGGCTCAGGTCATCTTTCTGAAATATATTTCAATATATTTATAGAATTGAGTCCTGATTCTTCCATGCAGTACCCCCACAACATCTCTAAAAGCTACCTCATCTGTTACCCTGATCTCTCTCTGGCCTGCCCTGGTGCAGAGAAGAGGCATGTGCAGGAGCTGAAGCCTCACCACTCCACTGAGTTGAGATGGTCTTGAAATTCTAGGAAGACCAAAAGAGAGGAATCAGAGAATGGGGTGAATATCAAAGATCTCCAGAGATTCAAGAATTTACTGAGTACTAATGTGAGCATGTATATGAGGAAACAACCCAAGTCCAGGAAGAAACCACAAAAAACATGGCGGGGGGGCGTGGTTTGCAACAGACCATGTTTAGTCAAGGCCAGCCTGGTGCCAATATTGAAATATGGGCTACTGAGGCATGAGGGAGAGCACTGAGCAGGATCTTGCTTTATGGGTACGGTTGGCCCTAAACACTAGTTTGGTCCAATCTAACAAAATTTTAAGAAAAAGGTATGATTTGAAAGAAACTGAGCACAAGTAAATCAACTGCACCCCAAAGCAAAAGTCAAGAATAATTATCAGGGAAATGCAGATCAAAATGACAGTGAGCTATTATGACAAGCAGCATAGAATGGTCTGAATGAAAAAGACAGGAGATGCCAACCAGGGATGTGGTGGAAAGGAATTCTCAGAGGCCAGAATGATACTATCTTCCAGGTAAGGCACTCACCTTCCCTGCGGCCAGCCCAAGTTCAATCCCCAGCACCAGCACAGCCCCCAAGCCCTGCCAGGAGTGATTCCTGAGCACAGAGCCAGTAGTAAGTCCTAAAAAAGGACCTGGAGACTTCTCAAAACATTACAAAAATGTTTTCCACATGACTCTGTGATCCCACTCCTGGGAATCTATCCCCAGAACACAAGAACATTAATCTGAAGAGATACACACCTATGTTTATCACAACACTATTTACAACAGCCAAGATCCAAAAAACTGTCCAAGTGTCCAACAGGTGAGTGTATAAAGAGATTGCACACACCAGAATACTACTCAGTTATGAGAAAAGACCAATCTTTTAATTCTGCACTTTGGATGAATGGAAGTGCTAAGTGGAGTGCATCAAAAAGTCAAAGATAAATACCAGATGACCTCATTTACATGCAGCATACAAAGACACAAGGAACAGGATTAGACAATTCCCAGTGGAAACAAACCTTGAGACAAGGTTAATAGAACTGGGAACTCGAACAGCAGGTTAAAGATGATGGGATAATGCTGGGCCAATCTTGAAACACTGGTGTTTCTGCAACTATAAAATACTTAATTTAGTATTCTTGTAAGTTATGGTCCTAAAAAATTAAATTTTAGAGCCTGGGAGGGGCAGCAGCAGTGAGTGGCTGAGCTTGGGGGAGGGAGCATTTGGGTGGCTTGGTTTGGTTTTGTGTTTTTCCTCTTTTCTGGTTGGACAAAGCCAACTGCAGGGCTTGAGAGCTAGGCCAGTGGGGAAAAGGGTTTGCTGTGCATGTACCAGCCCCGGGTTCGAGCCCTTGTGTTCGAGCCCCTTCGAATTATATAAAATAAAAACTAAAATCAAACTTTTAAGTTAGAATAAAATAAAATTTTAAAAAATTTTAAATCCGGGGGGCTGGAGTGATAGCACAGTGGGTAGGGCATTTGCCTTGCACGCGGCCGACCCGGGTTCAATTCCCTGCATCCCATATGGTCCCCTGAGCACCACCAGGAGTAATTCCTGAGTGCAGAGCCAGGAGTAAACCCTGTGCATCACCGGGTGTGACCCAAAAAGCAAAACAAAACAAAACAAAAAAATTTAAATCTGAAACTACTTTACTGATGGGATTAATAGCAGACTAGATACTGAGAGGGGAAAGAATGATGAATTAGAAGATGCATCAATAAAAACCACCCAAAATGAAACACGGAGAGGAAAGGACAGCAAAACTGAACTGTAAGAGAGTTTCGAGTAAGCTGGCATACCTGTGACTAGAGTCCTTAAAAGAGAAAAAGGAAGGGGAAAGGGAAAATATCTGAAGGAAGTCCAAAAATTCTCAAAGTCTATGACAATATATCTCCATGGATCCAGTAAACTCAAAAAAGTCTAATAATAAGAGACAAAAAATACACAAAACATTTCATAACGTAGCTGGTTAAAATTAGTGATAAAGGAAACATTTTGCTATCATTGCTCTTTTATTTGGGGATCACATCCAGTTATTCTCAGGGCTTATGTTAGGCTCTTCACTCGGAAATTACTCTTGGTAGGGTTTGGGGAACCATATGGGATCCCGGGGATCAAATCTGGGTCAGCCATGAGCAAGACAAGCATCCTACATGCTGCACTATCAGTCTGGTTCCAATAAAGGAAATCTTAAAGAAGTTAAAGAAAAATCAAACAGAGAGAGGAACAAAAATAAGGTGACAGATGTCTCTTTGCTATCAAAAAAACAAAAACAAAGCCAAGGAAACAGAAGAACAGCATTCTTATAATACTGAAATAAAAACTGTCAACACAAAAATTAGACAGAAAAAAATCTTTTTTCAAAAATATAAGTTTCCCCCATCCCCCATGATGACACAGAAGCATTGAAAGAACCAATCTGCAGTAAAAGGAATGACGGTGCTACAAGGAAGAAGTGATACAGCAGATGGGAATGTGTCTACACCAAGGAATGAAGACTACTGGAAAGGAAAAGGAGAGGCATTTGGGCATGTAAGCCCAGATCTGTAGATATTTAGGTCCCTAACAATCACTGACTTAGGGCTGGACAGTACAGTGAGTAGGGTGCTTGCCTTGCACATGGCCAACCCAGGCTCGATCCCCAACATTCCTTATGGTCCACTCAGGAGGGATTCATGAGTGCAAAGCAAGAAATAACCCTTGGGCATCACTGGGTATGGTTCAATAGCCTCTCTCACACCTCCCAAATAATAATAATATCTGACTTAAAAATACCAATAATTGAGTGTAGCATTTATATCACATGTAGAATTAAGCTGATAAAGGAACAATGGAAGTGATTCATAATCACAATTTGAAGTTAGTCTATAGGGGCTGGAGCAATAGCACAGCGGGTAGGGAGTTTGCCTTGCACGTGGCCAACCCAGGTTTGATTCCCAGCATCCCATATGGTCCCCCGAGCACTGCCAGGAGTAATTCCTGAGTGCATGAGCCAGGAGTAACCCCTGTGCATCGCCAGGTGTGACCCAAAAAAAGGCAAAAAAAATGAAGTTAGACTATAAAACGTTTAAAGTTTATAGTTACCACCAGGGGTAATTCCTGAGTGCAGAGCCAGAAGTAACCCCTGAGCACTGCCAGTGTGGTCCCCACCAAAAACAAACAAATAAATAATAAATGAAAGGAGATAATAAAGATCAGAGCAGAAATAAATGGTGTATAAAACAAAGAAAAATAACTATCAATAAAATTAATAAAATCCTGGTCAGAGTGATCAAGAAAAAAAGGGACAAGTATTCTCAATGTCAGTAATGAGAAAGGAGTTATCAGTGCAGAGTCTACAGATATAAAAGAAGAGTATAGTGACTTTATCCCAGTAATATCAAGAACTTAGATGAGATTAAATTATTTGAAGAAAATTCCACCAACACTTAAGAAAAAACAAAATCTTATAAGTTCTATGTATATTAAACCAATTTGGGGTCTAAAAAACTGCTCATATGGCCTCAGTGGTAAATTTTACCTCATATTCAATGAATAAGCAATACAAATTTACCTACACTCATTCAGAAAGCTCAAGAGGAAATATTTTCTAATTCATTCATGAGACCAATTTTATCTTGATATTAAATCATCCAAAATCTTCACATGGAAGGAAATGCAGAGGGCTGGGGACAGCTCAGTGGTAAAGTAGCTGCTCACCAAGCACAGGGTGGGGACTGGGCTGGATTCCAGGCCCACTGTAAATATCATTTGCGAATCCTGGTGCCACCACAAGAGTGTGCATTTTCCAGAGCATCACAACAGGTCTGATTCTGTGTCTGAAGAGCAACACCTGTGCTCTTTCTCACACTAATCTGGGCTTCACACACAAAAAAGTATATACATGAATTTCAACTATCAAATTATGATAATCCAACAAATATTCTTAACCCCATAGGTATGTTTATGAGTACCGTAGCACTGCACTGTTCTCCTGTTGTTCATAGATTTTGCTCAAGTGGGCAACAGTAACATCTCACAACAAATTGTGAGACTTGCTGTGACTGTTTTTGGCATATCAAATACGTCACAGGGAGTTTGCCAGGCTTTGCCGTGCGGGCAAGATACTCTCGGTAGCTTGCCAGGTTCTCCGAAAGGGGCAGAAGAATCTAACCTGGTTTGGTTGCATACAACGCAAATGCCCTACCCGCTGTGCTTTATTCAATGCCAAGATACTGCACACTCTCACCTAGATAATATTTAAACCTGCTACAGCCAGGTCTGTTCATGGATCCCAGGGAGCACTTGTTGATAGGACAACCTCAAGCAATATGGAGGCCATAAGGATAAAGATGCAATAAAGGTTCTGGTCCTGTCTTTCTCCAGAAAAGCTTAAAAACACGTCCTTTATTGTGGATCAAAAACATTTCCAAAGAATACTGACTCTCCTGTAAGAAGTGGCAAGAATTTGGCTGAACAAAATATATCACTCTAGCACTGTACTCCCATTGTTCATCAATTTGCTCAAGCAGGCACCAGTAAAGTCTCCACTGTGAGACTTGTTGTTACTGTTTTTGGCATATTGAATACGCCACAGAGAGCTTGCCAGGCTCTGCCATGTGGGCAGGATACCCTCAGTAGCTTGCCAGGCTCTCTGAGAGGGACAGAGGAATCGAACCCAGGTTGGCTGCATGCAAGGCAAATACTCTACCTGCTGTGCTATCATTCCAGCCTTAAATATATCAGTAACTAGAATCAAATCAATGGAATAGTCACATCCCAATATAACCAAAGATCCAGATGGTACTGGAGCTGGAGTGATAGCACAATGGTAGGGCATTTGCCTTGCACACAGCTGGCCCGGCTGAGCCAGGTTCAATTCCTCCGCCCCTCTTGGAGAGCCCGGCAAGCTTCCTGAGAGTATCTCGCCCGCACAGCAAAGCCTGGCAAGCTACCCGTGATGTATTCAATATGCCAAACACAGTAACAACAAGTCTCACGATAGAGACGTTACTGGGCCCGCTCGAGTAAATCGATAAACAATGGGAGGACCGTGACCGTGACCAGGTGGCGCTACAGAAGTCTGAAGAAATCAGTCCGTCCATTGGTATAATCTACATAAAAAGGCAGTCATCACCATGAGGACACAAGGAAGATGGGCAGAGAAAGAGAAAAGAGGTGAATTTCCATCATATCATAATTCCGTGCCAAGCATTTCATTTTTTTTTTTCATGAAAACCCATGCCATCCTTTCCATGGAGGAGCAGACAGAACTTAAGCTCGAGGAGAAATCGTTCTCCTTAAGCTCACATTCCTGACTGAACAACCACGGAGCTCAGTTTCCAGCCCGGGCCCGCTGAGGAAAGGCATGGGGGGGGGGGGGTGAGGGGAGGGTGTGCTTCTCTTGGCACTCCACGCGAATTACCAGAGGAAGACACACTTCGCAGGCTTGGTTTATTTTTGCTGATGCAAATGTCAGCGACAAGCTTCAGTGAGTGCGGATCTGACTTACTTCAAGGAGGAGTCTCCGACTCCAATGCAGCCACGCAAGCTGAGCTTCCTCAGGAATCCACCGCATCGCTTTGATATATTTTCCACCACTCGACCCTGGAATCAAAAAAGGTTGGGAGGGAAAAAAAATCTTTTCTCATGCTGCTTATCGAATAGTATAAAAAAAAATGGACTCAGTTCCAGGAGGCCCAAATTTTAGAACTGCACCTATTTTTCTAGGTGTAATAGAATATATTCAGGAATATTCCTCCAGCATATTTCTTCTAGTACATACAAAGCCTGCAAGCACTGGTAAGTGTTTCCTGTTAAAGTATTAAGTATTCAAAGAAAAAATTTACTGCCTTTTGGGTTTGTATCATTTTGGGGTTTTGCTCTGGGGCCACACTTCATGGTGCTCAGGAGTTATTCCTAGTCTGGAGCTGGGGAGGGGGAAGGGGTGTATGTGCCAGGGATGGTCCCAGGCCCCCTGCATGCAAACCAGGTACTCAGCCACTGAGCTATGCAGCTCTCCCAGCCTGTGCACTGCTTTGTGTACACCTTCCTGGAGACTTGGCGTGAGGCCTGCTCTCTCTAGACCCCAGCATCCCCACCAGTCACAGGGCTTTCTGCAGGTGGCCATGGGAACACTGGCTTTGAGCAGAGCACAAGACAGTGCTACTTTAGAAGAGAAACCACATTTTAGCTAAATGTTAGCAGCCTGAAAGTATGAAAATGTGAAGGCTTGACTTCAGCCTCCTCTGCAATCCTCTAAACATGTTAACTTGTGTGGGACACAGGCACTAGAGGAGAAAAAAAGAAAATGAACATTGATCAAGCCCTTTCACACTTTCAGTCACAATCTGAATACTTTCTTGTACCGTTTACAGCCCATTTAATGTTCATAGCAACTTGGTGAACCATGCTAGTCCAATGGAGGTAAGGGGAAGGTATCCGTAATAGAGGGGGACCTGGGAAGAGCTCCCTTGCCCTCACACAGCAACACACCCATGTGGCAGAGAAGCCAGGCTGTACTGATAACTGCATGGAGGTCTAGATAGTTCCGGAGCAAGGATTCTGGCATTGTAGTTATCACCTCCCACAAGTCAATCCCGGGAAGCCATCTAATGGCATAGACAACACAGGAATAATAGTTTTGGCCACTCGTCAGGGCAAACAATCACAACCAGTTCAGTTGCTTAAATGCATAGAAAATGGCTATAAATACCAACTGTGACCTCAGGACCGGTTGTAGAAATAAAGATGAAACTGTCAGGAATACATCCTATTTTTTTAAATGTGTTTCTGTGTGTATGTAAAGCAATTATATTTGTTTTCCTTCCTCTCTTGTTCCCTGATTATGTAACAGAAGATGGGGTGATTACACCTCAGTCCAACCTATTCATTTCAGTGACAGACATGGAGGATGAGAGAGAGCATCGCCCAAGGCCCTAGCCTCCTCAGGAAGGGGCTGCACATTTTGGGTTGTATGTGGGAAAACTTTCTCCTATTGGAGGAATTATGACTACATTATCATCTTATCTTAGAGATTCAAGTATAGTTTAAGGAGAGAGATAGCACCATAGCACTGTCCTCTCGTTGTTCACCGATTTGCTCAAGCAGGCACCAGTAATGTCTCCATTGTGAGACTTGTTGTTACTGTCTTTAGCAACTGAATACACCACGGGGAGCTTGCCAGGCTCTGTGGTGCCGGCAGGACACTCTCGGTAGCTTGCTGGGCTCTCTGAGAGGGACGGAGGAATTGAACCCGAGTTGACCACATTTAAGGCAAACATCCTACTCACTGTCCAGTGCTTGCTGTCCAGCCCCTCAGATTCCAGGCTGGACAGCAACCACTGGACAGTGAGCAGCTCTCTAAAGTCAAGTGCTGAAACTCACACTGCAAACAGCAAAGAGGTGGGTGCTGTGCTACTGACACCGAGTGAAAAAGCAAAATACAAGCAGAACTTTGATCCTGATTCCTGAAAAGACCTTTCAGGCATTTCCTCTCGATTCTAATCATAAATCTATGGGTAGTTAAATAATAAGGAAAGAGTGAACAATTTACTTTTTATTTTTTTTAAATCTTTGCTCTAAAATAAGGTTGACTTACCTCCACGTCTGTTTGAAAGTTAAAAAGGTCTATTCTTTGCCAGTTGCTTCCATCCAGAGCTAAGACGTTCCAAGCCTGGGAGGGGGAGGGAAGGAGGGGGAGTGGCATGAGCAACACACTGAGAATATTCAAGTGGTCTTCAGGGCATCTCTGTACTTCCAGTCTTTAATCCTCATGAATGTAAAGGTAACAATCAAACTTGAAATCAGAATAACACTGCATGAGGCTCAATGTAAAATATGACATTTTAATTATTCGAACTGAAACTCATCTTCATTCTACTAACATGATGTTTATTGATTAAAAATCTGTTTAATACACTACCTTGGAAATCTGTGCACATCGGCACAGTGTTACTATATCCAAAAAGGAAAATATTCTAGGAAGAAAGAGAAAAAACACAAAAATGAGAGTGTTAACATTTTAGGATATTTGTAACTTGAAAGATAAAATCTAATGTGCCATTCTGGCCATATAATTTCCCCCCCAAGATTTCTCAATTTGCAATATTTAGCGTACTTTAAGTTATGTCACAACTGGAAATGCTTGAGCAATCTGAAGTTGTTTCAGACATACACAAATCTCCTTAAAATAGGACTCATTAAACTTTTCCTTATTCTAAGACATGGTCAAGGGACAGTATACCATAACTAGTTTTGTTCAAAACCAAGTCTTTATTTTAATCTCCCAAGCAGAGCCAGGTGAGAGTTAAATCCTTTTAAATCTCAGTGCAAACTTCTCTTGGTGTTACATGCTCCAAACAAATTCATAAGCCTAAGCTTCAGAGAGTGTAGCCAAGAAAATACCATGACAGAATCCATTTGGTTTGAAGGAATTTGTTCGGAGGGCAAAAAAAAAAAAAAACAAAAACTGGAGCTTGGTGTCTGGCAAGGTCTGTAAGTGACCACTTTGTCCCTGAGCATAAGCCAAGAAGTCAAAGGTGAGAAAGAGGAGAAAAGAAAAGCAGAGAGAAACACACAAAAACGTAATTGACCTGGGCAGTGCCTGGAGAGGAAGCGGGAGCAGTTGGCATGTCTGGGGCCTAGCATGCAGGCCGCACCCGCCAGGAGCTGCAGAGAGCACGGAGCAAAGAGACTCGCTGGGTGCTCCTCAGTGTTGTGCATGGATGGCAGTGAAAACGGGTGGCAGTGTTTTTGTGAGAAGAAGAGTCGATGGAGTTGCGGGAGGGGGTCTCAATTCTCTTAGCCCTGGAAGGCAAGTGTGAGAGTCTCTGCCTATGAGACGGGGAGAAGGGGGAGACGGCAAAGGGCCATCTATAAAGTTGCTCAACATTCTTCAAGGGGTAACGGTGGGGAGCTGATATCCTTGTGCTCAGGGAAGGACAGCTGAGCCAAAACTAAGCCAGTGTCAGCCCTACAACAATGCCCGCACAGGCTCATGACAGCAGAGAGCCATTCTGCAACAGAGGGCCAATCATTTTCTAGAGAAAAGCAAAGGATAGAAGCTTAAGGGCTGTGTGCTAACCTTAAAAACATTTTTTGGGGGGGGAACATTAGTAGCCTCTGCTAGTACTCAGAGGCTACTCCTGGCTCAGTGCTCAAGGGATCATGTGGTGCCATGGATCAGACACAGAGTTCCTACATATGAAGCCTGCACTCAGAGCACTGAATGCTCTCTCCAGCCTGACCTTAAAAATCTCAATGGATTTGTAGTTATAAAAATGCTGGTGGCTAACATACATATATGAATCTTAAAAATATTCCGGTGTCAAATTGTCTGCCATAGAGGCAGGGGGAGGACTGGAAAGCGGGGAGTATACTGGGGACATTGGTGGTGGAGAATGTGCACTGGAGGAGGGATGGGTGTTTGATCATTGTATGACTGAAACTCAAACATGAAAGCTTTGTAACTGTATCTCACAATGATTCAATAATAAAAAAAGAAAAGAAAAAAATATTCCAGTGTCTGCACATCTCTATTGCTTCTATAGGAATATTTTGTCCCACACACAGGTCCTCCTGCCTCCGATGACAGTGTTCTGTACTATATGATCATTATATTAATGAGCTGAAGGTGGATCCTCAGCTCCATCCAAGTAATACACCAAGACTGAGGAATGAGAAGTGGCAACTGAGTTACATGTCCTGTAGGGGCTGGGACCCAAAGCATAAGTTGGAGGTGAAAACAGAGTTAGCCAAGTTTTCCTTGTAGATTTTTTTTTAAAGAATTAACCTCTTTTGGAGAACCATCTGCTTTATCACCTCTCCAGTGATAATGATACTGATGATAAAATAGTTAACACTGATTATGTACTATAGTCTAGCCAAGTCTGTGCTAGTCATTTAATGATCAGAACAGCAATGCAATCAATTTTGTGATATTAGTATCTTCTCTATAGATACAGATTTAGGCATAAAGAAGTTAAAAACCTGCTCAAGTAATTTATTTATGTATATATACATATTATATGTATATATGTATGCATGTATGTACATATATATACATACACACACACACACACACACACATATATATATATGTATATATATATATATATATATATATATATAAGCCACACCCAGGAGTGCTTAAAGACTTATTCCTGGCTCTGTTCTCAGGGATCACTCCTGGCAGGGCTCAGGGAGGACCATAATAGGTGTTGAGGATCAAACTCAGGTAAGCTGTGTGCAAGGCTAGTGTCCTACCCATTGTACTATGGCTCTGGCCATCATATGGACATTTAGAGCAGGGTTAGGATTTGAATCCAGGCAGTCTTGCTTGAGAGCCCTACCCTAGTCCATGTACCCACTACCCATCCTACACTGCCTTGAAAGTCCAGATAGTTGTTTTCCCATGGTATGGAACAGGATACTACTATTCAACTGATGGAGCAGGCCATGTGTAGCAGGAAACTGTATAAAAACAAGGGTGTTTTCAAAGTACATCTTTAAATACTAGATTCACAAACTGAAGCAATAAGCTCATACCTTCAGACACATATGAGAAGAGGCAAAAGAGAAACTTGTGTTTCTCATCTCCTGCTTACTACCCAATTTATGGTTATGGAATGCAAAATGTCACCTTTCATAAGTACACCATTTTCCTTCCCCAGACTGAATACATGTAATTGAATTTGCACAAATCAAGGAGGCATAATACTATCTCAAACTACAACTCAGTCAAACTCCTGAATCATGATGCACTCAATAAACTCCATATCCTGAATAACAGAGCTTCAAATACTGGCAATAGAAATACACAGATGAGTTAAGACTAGTGAGAAAGTTTCTTTCTTTCTTTCTTTCTTTTTTTTTCAGAAACTACTTCCTATCTCAAGTGTGCTAACTTTACCTTCATTAGGAAAGCACTCAATGTGACTTATTTGAAGTGAGCATACACAGAGTGCTATGATAGCTAACATATGATACATTACCTATGGCAATAAAATTCTGTGTGACTGAATCACAAACTTTTTAAAGTACTGATGTGTGGTTTTGTCACTCCTTCAATCTTTTTTGTTTTTATCTATGATCTTGGTTTTTTAGCTATTCTTGGTTTGTAATCTCACGGTCACGGTCCTCCCATTGTTCATCGATTTGCTTGAGCGGGCCCAGTAACGTCTCCATTGGAGACTTTGTTGTTACTGTGTTTGGCATATCGAATACATCACGGGTAGATACTCTCGGTGCGGGCGAGATACTCTCGGTAGCTTGTCAGGCTCTCTGAGAGGGGCGGAGGAATAGAACTCAGGTAGGTCATGTTGGCTGCGTGCAAGGCAAACGCCCTACCGCTGTGCTATCACTCCAGCCCCTTGTAATCTCCACTTACAAATTTTAGAATAAGCATGGTAATTTCCATTAATAAACTTTCTAAACTTTTTAATGAGGATTGCATTGATTTATAGAAATACTGGGGCAGAGATGTTTATAGTATTAGCCTTCCAGTTCACAGACACTGAGACTGCTCCTACTGCAGCTTGGCCATATAACGCAGGCCTGATTGATGGTCCAGTGCATGGGCTAGCAGAGCCGCAGTGGCGATGCTCAGCAATGCTCAGGGATCTTGAGCACACTGCTATCATGCTCATTGCTGCATGGTTGCTAGGCATTTTCTCTATCACTTGGGCTATCTTTCCAGATACGCAGGGGGAAAGTGGGGGGTTTGGGGTGGGCTGGGGAATCACACCTGGCAATACTAAAGGAACACTCCTGGCTTTGTACTCAGGAATCACTACTGGCTGTGCTTGGGGAACCATACGAAATACCAGGGGTCGAACCCAAGTTGGCCACATTCAAAGCAAGTGCCTTACCTGCTATACTATTGCTTCGGCCCCAGCCACTCAAAAATTTTCATAATTTTCCAAACTCTTTAGATTTTGGAAACCTCAAATCTCAAATTTCAAATGTAAAATCTAAAAGTCTCATCCTTAGATATTTTTCTTTTGGGGGGGGTGAAGTGGGGATGTTTGAGCCATACTCAGAAGTTCTCAGGTCTTACTCTTGGCTCTGCACTCAGGAAACACTCCTGGAAGGCTTGAGGGACCATATGGAGTGCCAGAGATTGAATCTGGGTCAACCGTGTGCAAGGTAAATGCTCTACCCACTGAACTATTGCTCTAACCCTCAACTTTAGATTTTTTTCTTGGCTATTTGGTGTTACAATTGAAAAACTGTCATATAGCTGTGTATAAAAAATTAATCTTATATATAGTCACTTTGTATCAATATTTCCAAATTTAGTCTAATTATTTTCTATATAAAAATCAGTTAATTTGTGAATAAATATGATCTTCTTCTTCCTTTCCAACAGTTATTTTTTTTGCCTTACTGAAATGATTCTAATACTCCAGAGTACAACTGAACTATTCATTTTATTTGTTTATGCCTTTTCCAAGATGTCTCAAATATTGGAATCATACACTATGGTTAATAGCTCTTAACATACCTTATTTAACTTAGCAGTATGCATGAAAGCTTCCTCAGAGTCTTTTTCAGTGACCTGATAGCCTACTAACATTTTACTGATGAATAATGCATTGTACCCACATGCCTCATCCATTCATGCATTCATAATCATCTAGAATACATCCAGTTTGGGGTGAGCATGAATAATTCTACTACAGGTAATTGTATGTGAGTTTTTAGGTGGGTATTTATTTTCTACTCCGTTAGAATTATTGTGGTTGTATGAATTTATATTTGACTTTGTAAAGAAACTGCCAAGCTTTCCAATGTGTTTGTGCCATTTTGACTCCCATTAGCAACATATAAGGAGTTCCTGTTGATCTTGATGTTCCTAATATTTAGTATTGTTGGATATTTTTTTTAACTTAGTCATTTTAGTAGGCATGCAGTGACAATTCATGTTTCACTTTTCAATTCTCTGATGACATGAAATCCAGCATCTTTTCATAAGGAG